GATTTGGCTCTCAACGGTTTTCCATTTGAAAGTGTACATGTGGCAACATATAGTATAACGGACCTTTTACTATATCCACATACAACATTTGCCGAATGGATGAGAGGGGAAAACTCGTATCTTTGGCAAATGACTGAAACATGAATTTTGTGATGAAGCAAATGGGAGGGAGCGAGAAATAGAAACAGAAAGAGTGCGCGCGGAAGAGAAGAGAAGAAAAACGCGCGTAAGAAGCCCAAAACAACAAAATGGAAAAATGAACACAAATGTGCAAAGAATAAGAGTGACAGAGACGCACACAATCGAAGAGAAGAAAATGTCGAATCACAATAATAAAAAAAATCATCTAAGTGGTGTAGTAAATTGTCAATGAATAGAAGATTTTCGACTCCAGCAATTGCTTAAATTCTAGACAGAAAAAAAATCGTGTTTGGTGCCTGTTTGCCGATGGCTGACAGAATACCAGCTTTTGCTCACCAAAATATATATACTCTTACGCAAACAACGCAACCAGCTATTTTTACTTCTTTAACGATTTGTTTGCAGTTCAATTAAATATCGAATATGACTGTAGTTATGATGTAGTCGGGTGTTCCTGCATTGAACGCAATTCATTACTTCACCATAAAACATGTAGAGCGTTTGTAAGGAGACGTTTGTCACACTATTCAGATGCTCGATGTGAAATTGACTCTATCTCATTGCAAATTAGGCTCAAATTGTCTAACGAATGTGTTCGCATTCAAGTGACGATTACATTAAATTTTTATGATTGTCATTGCACATGATCAAGCACTCTGATTACATAGAGAAAAGTGATCTACACACCATATATATTTATGCATGGATGAAAAGATAATTTGCAAATGAAATTGAGTTACCGAAAAAAAATTGGAGCCAATTAATATTGGTGGAAAATATTACGAAAATTATAACGTCCTATATGAACTATATATGAATGTTCGAGAATGAATGTGAGTCTTCTCCTGAGAGTTTATTGAAATGTAACACCGCCATACAAAAAATGCTGACAGTCAGCAATTTTTGTATGGCGGTGTTACATTTCAATAAACTCTCAGGAAAAGACTCACATTCATTCTCGGACAATCATATATACTAGGCGTTTCAATAAGTAAGGTACCCAACAAGGAAAACACAACATTTTTGGCAAAATTCGAGTTTATTCTTCAACATAATCTCCTTTTAGCTCAATAAACCCGCTCAGTTGAGATGTGTGTTGCCTCAACTATCTCACGCAATTTCAATTTCGGGTCTTTCAATATCATATCATGGATTTTTTTTATCTATATGAATGTCTGAGAATGAAAGCGAGACTTCTTTCTTTTCATAACTTATTGAAATGTAACACCACCATACAAAACATGCTGACTAGTCAGCATTGCATATAATGGCGACAATAAACACTAAATTCACTAGAAATATTAGAAGAAAGTAGATCGCACTAGCAAATACTGAATAAATATTTGAATTGTTATTGAAACTAGACGAAAATAGTTTATATTATAAATGGTAGTTTCCCCTTGCGTCAATGAGATATTAATGTAAAAAAATTGATCATTAAACTGATTTATGACATTTAAAAATACTAAACTAACTCTTGATAGTAAAATAGTTTCTGTTTGGTTGAAAAATGTATGCACATTTCCTTAAACAGTCTTAATTTGACTCAATTTGAAATGATCGTGTTTGCTTGACATTTCTCACGCATCAATGTAAAAAAATCAAAATGATCACGTTTACCATTGTGAGTAGTGGCCATTGGTGTGAATGATTTGAATTGTTGTTGTGTAATCATGTACAATTGTCCATATTTTCTGTGCAACAATTAGGCTTTGAAGATGTTAACTAGATAATAATATTTAAAGCTTCGATACCCTTATAGAACTTGGACGTATATACAAACACGCAGAACGCTTCCAAGTCACTTTCAAAGGACGAAAAAGAATCATTGATATGTTTCAAAGAGACATATTTATCAAACAGAGGAAATCTTGATAATGACTTATTTATCAAAGAAAGGCATTTTGACAATAGAATCGCAACTCCGCTACCAACTAAGAACTGACTGGAAAAGTATTAGTTCGCAAGTAATAGATGATCTGTCAGAATTGGTTTTGAATTTGTATGATAATATTGCAGTCCGCGATACTATTACGGATGTAAGTGATTTTATAAAAAAAAATTGAAATAATCTATTGTCTTACTTCATGTCGAATGTCCATCATTTCAGATGTATGGAAATGTAACACAGATTGAAACTGCTTTTATTTTATTTTATTTTTATTTTATTTTTATTTGGAAATGTATGGTATATGACTACAATCAACAGGCCCAAAGCCCTCTTACAGATCATAATCACGAGATAATAATTTTGGGGTTTTAATACTTTGGTAAGAGTTTACGTAATCGACAAAAAGCTGTTATCAAAAGTATCGCGTAGATATCTCATCGAACTTATCCTATTTTAATTTTCAGTCAGTCTTATTTCTATGGTTCTGCAACTGGTACTTCAACGATTGCAACAACGACTCCTGTGAACATTTGAATCGGTTAAATACAATCAGTGTTTTTTCATCAGATAATTTTTTATGTGATCTAATTGAATACAGTTTTTTTTTATTTATGATGATATTTTTTCAGTATGGTGGGAAAAAGGTTTGAATCATAATAGAATTGAATCTCATCTCCGTTTAAAACCCTATCAATCGTACCACATTTTTTGCTCCAAATCCTCTATTCTTCATTATCTCTCTTAAATCGGTCAAAATTTGATGGTTTATAAAACAACTAACATCAACTTGCGTTCGTGTTACGGATGGTTCGCCGGCCTTATCCAAGGATTTGGTATTATAAAGACAGGAGCTCTCCAATTGTCTTTTCAAATCGTATGCTCTCATTTTGGCTTCTTTGGTAGTGCGTTTACTTTGAGCAATTTCGTTCATTTCGATCCACATCGCACTATCAGACACAATATTTTTGGATAACTGATAAATTAAGTTATCCTCTGAATGTAGGCACATTTTCACTTTGGCATAAAAATTTTCAAATACAAAATCATTTGAATAAACACCGCAAGTTGGTTCTAGTAAATTGATCAATGCTGCAGAATTTTTCTCCAACCTATTTCGAACTATTGCGAAATAATCTTGGGGGCATTCAATTTTCGCCGTATGTTTTGAATTCCAACAATTATCGTCCTGCAAAGTCTTCCTTATTAATAAGTGTTTTTTCATAAAAGCGTCCGAGTGAAGCTTTGAACAAATCTTTGAATAAGTCTCGCAAGCGACAATTCATGTCAGTTTCTTGTTCCAGATATGGTAAAACGATTGTATTTAAGTCCATATGAGCATATCCAAGAAGGAAATTCTTTTAATTTACTTAAAGACATATAGTTTTTGGAAATAGTTATTCCCTTTTCTTTTACTCCTAGCCGATTTTCTCGATGTATTTCCATGTTTTCTAAAATTCTCCCTAACGCTTTACTATTTTCCATGTTCTTCTGAAAAGGCATCCAAAAGAGGATCATAACAGCGGTAACAAATCTCATAGAACTTTCGGTGCAAGTCACAATTGCCAACGAATTTCAGAAATTTAGAATCCATTTATTTAAAATGCCATTTAATTAAAAGCTGACGATTCAGAAAATAGTTTTGCCCGATTAATCATCAACATAATTTAGCAAAATCATCCAAAGCGTTTATAAAAATATACAATTTTGAATAAATTGGTCGAATTTCGACCACGGGTGGCCCCAGTATATATGAATATTATTGTATCGTTTGATCGTGCACGGATTTAATAGAGATGCAAAACAAATTATAATAAACATTAATGAATATATTCGTTTGCATTTATGTGTGTACAATTTTATCAAATGTTCAAAGCAAATATCAAAATAACTTGTATAAACTCATTAATCGGCCATAACATCAACGAAGCTCAAGAAGTTTAATGTTTGCAAATTGAACGTGCGATGCAAATGCATGCAAACAAGGATTGCCTTGAATCCTTTTGAAAACGAGGAAAATGTTTCATTTAAAAGGAGAATAAGATTTTATGCGCATTACCATCCAATGACATATATTAGATTAAATGCGATTATTTTCAGACATCAGCTCATCCGGCTCCTTCCTATCTATTTTATACATATTTAATATCAATAACAACTAAAACATTCACATACACATAACCAATGCGAACGAAAAGTACAGTTTATTTGATGCGTTTTTGTCTTTTATGATGATGTGACAATTTGAATCACATGGCGAGTTGAATAGCACACACAGCTATTGCAATAATTGTCGGCCTGACTGGCGACTAAATAAAATGGAAGAAACTTACCATTCTTGTTTAAATTCGAAATTTGTTTTTGCGACTTGATCTTTGCCACTCGTATATTACCTCTCCGTCATTCCCTCTCTTGCTTGCTCTCTCTCTCTATCCCTCTCTGTATTCTTCTCTGTGTGTGTTTTTTTCTGATTTCGCTTTTTCGTGTTTATGGTGTTTGCATTTTTATTACTATGAGCTGCAATATGATAACTGACGGCTGCCAATAATAGTGGCGGGTGGTTCATATTGCTTTTGCATTCAAAACATGAACAACACTATGAGAATCATCCACTCTATTTAATCGTTTTCAAAACATTTAATTTCAGAATTTAAAAGAAAATTAATTGCCACTGTTAATTAAATTTTTTAAGATAAAATCATTGGAAATGAACACGGCCACTGAAAAATTATGGTCACAAAATAAATAAAACAACGTTACGAATAAAATCAGATTCGAAAAAATTTATTCTAAAATATGTTCATTTTTTTCTCTTGTAAAAGTATTCAATACAAAATTAATTTTGATGGCCATCATTTTGACAATAATAATTAAATCAATAAATTATTACAATATATTCTCTTCTTTTTTTTCTATTTTTAAATGCAATACAATAATCATAAAATAAATGGTAAAATTATAAAACAATTGAGCTATTTAAAAGTCAAAAAAAGGAATAAAGATCAGAACAAAAAAAAAATATATTAAATGCAAACATAATTATTGCTCATTGGTTATCGCAGCCATAAAATCCCGGATTAAAATACAAATTTTTGTTGAAGCCACGATCCTCGTTGCTCACCGTTTGCAAATGGTCACGTTCCGTGCGTTTGGTGTTCATTTGTTCGCCGATTATTTTAAGTAAATCCTCAAGATGTGTATCGTGTGCATGTTCAGCCAATACTTTACACAAAATTTGAACGTACCAGGAACCTTCGACCGGATCACGGAATGCATTATAACCGGATACCGTTGAATAGCATATTTTCATATCATAAAATGTGGCAATGCTCTCTCGTTTTGTACTTGGACTCGGACTCGGGTCAGGCTCAGTTAATGTGACTCGACTATCACTTTCAGTTATGCGTTGAATCCCTTCATTTTCTGATAATGAAGACCTAATGAAGATACAAACATTTTTGTGAATATAATTCATTACACATTTATTGACACACAATTTGTTTTCATTATTTTGGACGGAATGTTTTCTTGACAAACAATTTTGCAAACATACAGCATTCGTTTAGACGTTTTAAATCTATAATTAATTATAAATGCTTATTAATGCTTATTGTCAATAATTAGAATCTTCAGGGCTGTTATAGGCGCCGCAGAGGTGTAGGCACTTTTATTATAAGTGCTGCTCTTTCTTTGTATTCAGGTGCTGTACTTAAAAAATGATATGAAATAATCGAGTACCCGCACTTCTCCGGTGCCAATAACAGCTCTGCTTAGATTTTAGGTATGTGTGTGTGTGTGTATCGTAAAATGTTAAAAGTCTATATCTATTCATAAAGGCCCGGATTAAAAAATAAATTTTTGTTGAAGCCGCGATCTTCGTTGGCTGTTGTTTGCAATTGATTGTATTCGTTGCGTTTTCGATTCATTCGGTCGCCAATAATTTTGAGCAAATCGTCAAAGTGTGTATCGTGCGAATGTTGTGCAAGCACATTGCATAGAATTTGAACATACCATGAACCTTCCACTGGATCACGTGACGCAGTTATAGCAGGCAGTGTTGAGTAGCATACCTTCATATCGTAAAATGTTGGCACATTTATTCCTTCAGCAAGATTACCGGTTATCTCGCGTTCAAGTGTTTTTCGTATCACTCCATGATCGGCCAGTGGCCCCCTTCAATTTATAAAATACAAACAATCAACAATTTGTAATATATTCTATGTTTTGTTCTATTTATGATCTCTTCCATATGTTATTTCGAATTTACACAAGCCATTGAGCGAACGTGCTGATTTTTTTTACACAATTTCTAGTTATTGAAAAATCGCAAAATTTTAAATTTTGAATTTGTGTTCTTCGCATAAAAAAGGATCTACGCTCAATCGATGGCAAATATACATCAACAATGATTACCTGCAAAATGGGAAGAGAAATATCTTTGGCTTTCCGAGCAACGATTGGCAATTGAAGTTATTAAATTTCGTCAAAATATCTTCAACATCCATTTTTGCTCCGTCCACAAATTCCACTTCATTCTGTTCACCGTGACTAAGTACAGCAAATACAAAACAGTCGTAGTCTTGAATCTCCTTAAACTGAATGATATTTTTTAAAAAGTCCAAAAATTCCTGCAAATTGATATATGTGGTGATTTGTGGTGATTGTTGGTGTTTTTGTTACTAATAATAGTACTTACAGATTTTGTTAAATCTTCTTGCACACATATAAAAAATCCCATTTGACGAAATACATATACGAGATTGTCTCGATCTGTTTCAGCACCATTCCGCCTGCGATATTGATTCCTAAAGTGTATATTATTTACAATTATCAGTATTCCTCGTTTTTCCGAATGCATTGGATCTGTGTCGGTGAGAAATGCGTAAACAATATAAAAAAAATCTCTTCAAAATAGTTCAAAAAAAAAAACTGTATGGGATCAAACTTACAAATGCCGACTTTGGATGTACTTTCGCCATGGAATTCGGTTGAAAATTTCACTGGCATTTGTAGTTCAGCGTTGATTTGTTCCTTAAATTCTACAATTTGTGGTTTTCGAGGTGGTAACTTAAGATTATTTCCTAGGCTGGACTGAATTAATTGATTAGACAGTTCTCGAATTCTCGGCGATATGGATGTCGATGTGGATGGCATTGCATTGTAATGAATATCATTATTATTATTGTTGTTGTTGTTGTTGGTGGTGTTATTAAAATTATGGTTATTGTTGTTGTTAACATGATTGTTAACATGAGTATTTGCCACATGATTTGTGGCTTGATGGATGAGCCCACTTTTAAGTTGTCGAATGCTGGGCTCTTCATTGTCATATCGTGTACGATATGATACATGGGTTAATATTTCGTATGCATCAGGAAAATGCAATTGGAGTATATGCAACAGTACTTCGTATGCCTTTGGTCCACGATGTGTTATTTTTTCGAACAATTGTTTGTGACGGGCCTCTTCGGTTGGTGCCAACTAAAATAGACAAAATCATATATGCATTCGGATGTTTGCTGCATCGCAAGAAAAATAGAAAAAAATGTTTACCTGAATTTTATCAACCATCACTCTGAACAATAGCTGATGATCAAGACAGGCCCTTACGAGAATATCATATTTGGTAAATTTAACTAGTCGGTCGATATTGCTTAAAATTTTTGTCCGATGCTCTTGCTCCATTGTTGCTAATGTGAAAAAAAATATGGCAGAAAAATGTGTGAATTATAAATGGCGTGTAAAATTCAATTGAAGTTAATTAAGTTCTTTTTCGGTACCCTTATCGGTACGTAGATGTGAATGTGTGAAAAAAAAACTTTGTATTGAATTTGTGAATTAGCTCAGTTATAAAATTTGAATTATTCAAACACACATCACAATTACGCACAATTTACACTAAAAAATGACTATTTTTTCTCTAACATTTCAATTTAGAGGTATCTTGCGGGTCCAAGTGGTGGACATGTTAAAACATGATGACTAATACATCAACAAAGAAACTGTTTTTTTTTAAACACAATGGAAGGTATTTTCTTGAAACTAAAGGATTTTTTTATTTAAATTTCGTTTTCATTACATATTCATCACGCTTACCTTTGCATGTGTAGGCCTGCACACTAATTTGATTTCATTAAATCTAAACAAACTAAAAAAACGAAAAATAAAAATAATTTACTAACAGCACCCAGTATTCGTTGCAGTCTCGCTTTTGTTTATTAGTTCTTTCAAATGTACACTTTTTATTACATTTTATCTGAAACGTCAAGGTAAAAATGGCGGTGCATGTATATGCATATTCACAATAAATATCAATATAGATAACTATTCGATTCCATTAAAAAACTGCAAATGTTCACACTTTTTAAAAATTCTCAATTTTTTAATTTGAAAATAAACAGATTTTCTTTTTTTAAATAAACAAATGTAATGCACATTACGTTGCACATCACATCATTTTCGATCGCAAAAATAAATTGAACAATAAATATGTATGACCCTGATCGCAACGGTTTTGTGTACAGCGCCAAATCTACACTGGACGTCATTTTTGCGAACTAAATCGCAAATGTACATTTTGCTTGTCACTTGACACAGCTAAACAACAACCAAAAATACTGTATCAACTCATAGACCGACACTTTTAGTTTTTTTCTGTTGGTTCACTCACATTGCATCGGGAACAAAGCTGCATTATTTTCGAATTTAAGAATTTTGTTAGAAAGATTAATCAAACAACAATAATGGCAGACGCTGAAAGCGCACAAAAACGATGGGAAATCGAAAACGAAATCGAAACACTTCCACCCAGCGATGAAATATTTCGATACGATGGACAAGAACAGCAACAGTTTTTATCAGCTCGTAAGTGTAGTCACGCAAAATATCGTGATTAAATTACAATCGTCTCGATTAATAAATTTTTATCTGTTCGTAGGTCCATGGGAAAAAGATCCACATTACTTTAAGGATATTCAAATCTCGGCATTGGCATTACTCAAAATGGTGATGCATGCCCGTTCAGGTGGTTCATTGGAAATTATGGGTCTGTTGTTAGGAAAAGTCGTTGAAAATACAATGGTAAGTGGTTTGACAATGGTTATCGCATACATATGAAATTTCATTGTCTTTGAAATGATGTTTATAGATTGTGATGGATGCGTTTGCATTGCCGGTTGAAGGAACAGAAACGCGTGTCAATGCACAATCACAAGCATACGAATACATGACGGCATATATTGAATCCGCATCGGAAGTTGGACGCTTGGAAAATGCAATTGGCTGGTATCACAGTCATCCGGGCTACGGTTGTTGGTTATCTGGTATTGATGTGTCAACACAAATGCTGAATCAAAATTTCCAAGAACCATTTGTGGCCATTGTTGTTGATCCAGTGCGTACGGTGTCGGCTGGAAAAGTGTGCTTGGGCGCATTTCGAACATATCCCAAAGGTTATAAACCACCAAATGAAGAACCATCGGAATATCAAACAATTCCATTGAATAAAATTGAAGATTTTGGCGTTCATTGCAAACAATATTATGCGTTAGAAGTGAGCTATTTCAAATCGGCTTTAGATCGAAAATTGCTCGATTCATTGTGGAATAAGTACTGGGTCAATACATTAGGCAGTTCGGGTTTGTTAAGCAACACCGAATATACAACCGGTCAAATATTCGATTTATCAGAAAAATTGGAACAAAGCGAAGCCAGTTTGGGAAGGGGGCCATTTGTTGTATCAAGTAAGTGCCTCATTTTTTTACTTACTTTAAAACACCGAGTCTTCTATTGTTTTTTTTTTTTAATTCATTGCAGGCGGTGATCCAAATGAAAAACGTACTGAAGACAAACTCACAAAGGCCACACGAGACTGCAGCCGCGCATCAATTGAACTGATTCATGGCCTAATGGCACAAGTGGCAAAGGACAAACTCTTCAACTCCATTGGCACCAAGAAATTGAACCAAATTTAAGAAGAAACAGAAAATCTCTCGGATAAAAGATAATTCAACATTGTTTCTAATTTAATGTAAAGCAAATAAATTTCAAACTTTTATGTAGCTTATACCTCCACGTTTTTTTTTCTAACCAAGACAATCTTATCAATGTCAGATAATTCGAATAAACGAACCAAATACTCCTCTCTAAATTTTTTAAAAAATAAATGTTTTATTCGGTCACAATTCGACATTTATTCGGTCACAGTTTAACAACATAATTGTAATTCCAAACTACAGTGATTATTTTCTTAATGTCTACGACTATCAAAAAAACTTCTTAATACATAACTTGTTTGGGTTCTTTTTGAGTGTAAGCTGGTGTAAATCTCATTCGTTTGCCTCGATATAATTCGGCGGCATACGGGAGTAGAGCTGGTTTTCTTACAAATATTCCACGTCCTTCTGGTGTCCATGCATGAAAGTTTGCCATTTGACTTGGTGGTATGTTAACAGACACCCAACCGGCAGATGACAGTATGATATCTACAAAAAAATATCAAAGAGTCAAACATACTTCAAATCAAAAGGCACTAGAGAGAAAAAAACTACTCACCGCAAGCGGATATTGTTCGGAACTCTGCATAATTTCCGATTGAAATTTTATCTGAATGCCGTTTGAGCGCTGGAAATTCTTGCAATCGTTTGTCAGTGCCGCGTGGAACATTCAGTATATCGGTGCCAAGACATTGTTCATAGATTTCGTCAGCCATATTTGTGGACGTTATTAATATGGACAATTTTTCAGATGCATACACAGCCAATCGCACTTCACTGGCGCCGCCGGTATAATCAATACGTCCAAGTCCAGATAGAAATAGCGTTTGACCGGGATATAAAATGAAAACTCTTGGCCATAGAGTTTCTTTTGGAATTGTATAGAGCAATTCTTCGCTGGTCAACAAATTGATGATTTGCTCATTTTGTATAACACCCGGTGTATCGTACAGCCATTTTCCAAATTTAAACGCTTTATGATTCTCATTGAAGTATTTTTCTAATGGTGGTGCATCCGTTAACTCTACGGCACTTTCAAATTTTGATTCCGGTTCAAGTTCATAAGTTAGACCTAAACAACGATGTTAACATTCGGTCATGTGATTAATAGATATTGACTTTAAAATGTTCGGGAAAAAAAACAAAACTCACCAATATGTTCCATAAGCGTTTTCTCTGGTTGTCTACCTAAGGGGAGAATCACAAAAGAAAAGAATAAAATAATCGTAAAACAATCAATAATATTTTGGTTGTCTACCGCTAAACACTTGACTTAGACGTAGACTTTCCAATGCTTGTCTTTGTCGTTCTTCATTCTGCAATCGTTTTTGTCGTTCAATCAGCAGCGCATTTGATGGTCTTGCAATGGGAAATTTTAACATGCGAAGCGTTGTTCCCGGCCATAAACTGGATGTTGCACGCCGTATTAGACTTCTGGCTCGAATTTTGCAATAATCTGATCCTAATAAAGCATTGAATAGCGTACTTTTACCAACATTTGTGTTGCCCATCAAATATACATCGCCTTTATTTGGCCAAATTGCATAAAGAGTGGTGATTAAATCTTCAATTCCATAATTCGTTTTTGATGATATTAAACATGTATGTTTGATATTCGTCTTTGTCAATCCCGACTGGATTAGCGAATCTTCCAAGCATTCTTTGATGTGTTTCAAATATTCGATGGAATCTTGTGGCAAAAGATCGATTTTATTACCAACCACAATGACCGGCCGTTTTTCGCCAATGATATCAACTATATTCGGCCATATTGAGCATGGAAAATCGGTTAAATCCACCATTAAAATTGCAAGCGCCCATTCGTCTTTGATTTTTGATAACATATTTATGTAGTCATCGGCATTGACCTGTACTTTGAGTGCGGTATTGTAGTTTTTCAAAAAGTGACATCGTTGGCAAGTCAATCGTTGGAGTGTGTTCTTGTCGTGACCTTTTATCAATTCGCTGGGCAAATAGCCGGGAATGCTGGGATCGGCACAATGTAAATTTGCACCACATCCATGACATGGTACATTTGAAATTCTCGCATTTGGATCTAAAATCAGACATTTTAATATAGATTTTTTTTTTATTTGCATGAAAAATGTCTTGTTTACCTGGTGTTCCATACTGTGTTTCTGGCATCAACTCTTTTTCATCATACGTTTCATAGTCCTCCATCCAATTGCCGGGCACCGATTGCAGTTCATAATCAAGAGCCGATTGTCTCATATTCAATTCCGTTAATATTTCCAATTTTGCTTTTGCCAATACCGCTTTTTCTTCCCTTTTTTCCGGTGGTTCCGATTCGTTTACAACTTTCAATGGTTCATCTTCAGCTACTGGTTGTGTTTCCTCATTTTCTTTTAATTTAGAAATTTGGGCAAATTTTTGCGCAATCAATGATACTGTTGGTGCTCTTGCTTTTTCTAATCGTTCCTTATAATCATTGGAGTTGAGTTTAAATTTTAATTCGGCTCTTTGTTTATATGATAGCGGTTTCTTATATGATTCAACAGCCGAACTATAGATAATGTCCGATTCATATTTCTTAACTAACGATACAATTTGTGGATCAATCGGAGTCTTATGGTAAGCAGGTTCGTCCAATTCGATTGATTTAACAATATGCAACAATCGTCGATTTGTTGAAAAAATGGTCAATTTTTGTGACGACTGTAAAATTCGAATCATCTCGAAAAATGTTTGTCAATTTCACAGAAAATCGATGAAGTATTTGTTTTTAAAATGCACCGCACTTATTCATTACCAACGTATTTGCCTAAAATGTTTTTATATTCATTTCAACATTGGACATAACCTTATACACGTGTGTGTATGTTTGTAAGTCTCTATATCATATGGTGAAAAACTGTCAGTGTCAGCCAATTGACAGATGACATTTTTGTGATTTCAATAGTTGCCACCGTACAAATGTGTGGCGTTTCATTGAAAGCGTGCATACTTCCTTCATCACAAAACTAAGTCTTTTCTTTTCAGATCCGAACAAGAAGACACAAAGGTTCGTGTTTTTACAATTTTTTTTTTAATTTCTAATCATCCACGATATTATCCAGTGAATTTTTTTAAAAATTATATCAGAATTTTTATTAGAATGTTCTCTGTTGAGATGTATCAATATTTTTCGATGGAATATAATAATTTTAATATATTTTCTGGATTTTTTTCAGGCGAAAATGGGTCGCCGTCCAGCTAGATGGTGAGTGTATAGCAATTACCTTGTGTTGATATGAAATGTGAAACCGAATATTATGACAAAGAGAAATGTGTGAACGAGTGATTTAAGTGTGACTCAATCCAATCGCCTTTATTACAAAATTATTTAAAAAATCGATTTAATTTCGTATTAAAAACGATAATTTAAATGAAGGTAGATAAAAAAACACGTCATTGGGTGAGGTAGAATAGTTTTCCAAAATTCTAACCTCAAAATGACTGTAACAATTCATTTTTTGAATGTATGCGAGTGTTTCACGTGGAAAAATAATTGTTAACACGTACGGAATTTAGTTGGTTGTTTTTTTTCGTATTTTCGCATAGATCTTTTTAGATATAAAATTGTGATTCATTATGATTGGAATATATACTAAATGTATGTATTCTTGTTTACAGCTACCGCTATTGTAAAAATAAGCCGTATCCAAAATCACGTTTCTGTCGTGGTGTACCAGATCCAAAAATCCGTATTTTCGATTTGGGTAAAAAGAAGGCTTCGGTCGAAGATTTCCCACTATGCGTTCACTTGGTGTCTGACGAATATGAACAATTGAGTTCAGAAGCTTTGGAAGCCGGACGTATTTGCTGTAACAAATACTTGGTCAAGCACTGCGGTAAGGATCAATTCCACATCCGTATGCGAGTTCATCCATTCCACGTCATTCGGATCAACAAGATGTTGTCGTGCGCCGGAGCTGATAGGTATGTGTTGCATTTGCTGTTGACTATTTTTTTTTTCTTCATCATGTCATGTGTTTGGTGAATCATGGATATTTTATGATGATATTGCTTCGAGCACTGGGTTATGAATTCTATGATTACAAACCTTTTTGACATTCTTTAACTGATGCCATTTATCCGAATTCACATTCACGCCGTGACATAATTTGATAGACACATGTCGACACAGTCGATGTTTTGCCTGATTTATTCATTTATTTTTCGTTTTGTGTTCATTAACAGACTCCAAACTGGAATGCGTGGTGCTTTCGGTAAACCACAAGGTACCGTAGCACGTGTACACATTGGCCAACCAATCATGTCAGTGCGTTCAGCTGACCGTTACAAGGCTCAAGTCATTGAAGCTTTGCGTCGTGCTAAGTTCAAGTTCCCAGGACGTCAAAAGGTAATATAATATAAAACAATCACATTTTTTCTTCTCTCATTTGCAAACAATTCATAATTTGTTTATTTACTTTGTGCACAGATTTTCGTTTCAAAGAAATGGGGATTCACCAAATTCGATCGTCAACGTTATGAAGAACTTCGTGACGAAGGACGTTTGGCTCCAGATGGTTGCAACGTTAAATACAGACCAGAACACGGTCCAATGGCTGCCTGGGAAAAGGTTCAAGCTCAAATCTATGCTGAATAAATTTGATTTGTAATCAACGGCATACATGCTGGACATCTTAAGCAACCGATTCAATGAAAAAACGAAAAAAAAAATGAAATAAAAACAACATTTTTATTACATTTTAATTGTTTCTTATTCTTTTTTATGTTTTTTTATTTTTGTTTTGACCATACTCTGAGATGCATAATCAAGACAGATATTATAAAACATGGGTCTGTTGATACAGCATCTTTGAAATGTTTTTTTTTCTTCTCTTTTGGATAAAACAATATTTTATAGTGAAATTACAGTCATTGATATATTTATATCAGAATGTGATTTGAATTGTGAGTTCAAATTATGCTCAGAATCGCTTATATTGGAAAATAAGTGTTTTTTTTTTTTAATTTCAAACTCTCTTGGGCAGTTGCTTTTGAAATCAAATATTTTCCACAGACACGATCAAAATGGCTTAGATCCAAAACTCATCTCTGTTCGACTTCATAAATTAAAACGATACGTTTTCGATTCAAATGAAATGACTTTTTTGGGTAGTTAATTGGTTACTGCAGCCTTTTGTTTTCAGAGATTTTGCATAAAATCCATGAAAATGTTTGTCAATGTGTAAAAGGAATAAATACATGTACAGATTTAAGCCGCATTTTATGGCTATACAAAAATACCTTACTTATGTGTGCAACAAACGGAGCATTAAATTTTATTGCAAATTTATTTACAAACAAAAGAAATTCTATAAAAAGAAAGACGTGCGTGCCATTAAAATATTTCGGTGAGTGATGATGTACTGCATCAAATCAGCTTTTATTGGTATTGCCATGGAATGTTGTGGAATCGTTTTTTCGAGGATGTGATCCTCTTAAAAAAGTAATATTAGTATATATCGCAAATAGCGCATATTTGACATAATTCTTTACTTGGACATAACAGTGCTGAACATAACAGTGGTGTCATTGTTTGAAATTTATTAAAATGTCTGCACTTTTCACTTGTTGACGTAGCAATATGAAATCGAACCGAAATAAATCGTCTGTCAAACATCTGAAAATGCTTACATTTTAACTAACACAAATACATTGAAATTGATTGTTTGGCAAATTTTTGTTCATAGTTGTTAAACCGTTTTCGCTTGAGATATAAATTTTTCAAAAATCATGCCAAATTCTGTCCGTAGTGGAGAGTCCAAATCGACACAAAATGCTTTGCCATTTCGCTTGTGAACGCTCATTAAGGTCAATACATACAAAAAAAAATTATTCTAAGCCGTGCGCCGTATGCGCGATCTAGCATTTTGCTGCAACAGTGAACATACACTCACACAAATACATCGACTGAACAATCTGCAAAATTGTAGAACAGCGGCTTAAACTCTGGGAAAAAAATCTCTTTCAGTCTTTTCAGTTCAAATAGTGCAACAAAATGGATGATAATCAACCAAGTACCTCATCAGGTAATTTGAATTATTCTTTTTAATTTTCGAAAGAAAGAAAACCGGTGAACAATTGATTGGTACAAAGAAAAATTGGCTTTTATATTCGATTTCCGCAACAACAATTTTTACATTCTGCGTTTAGTTTGCAAACAAAACTTTTTTTAAACAAACCCCGAGTAGAAATGCATAGCATCAAATTAACGGTACAAATAACAAATCTATTGCGCACTTGTTGAATATATGAAACCATTTAACCGGCTAGTGTGCAATGTATGTCGGTTTTTTGCTAGTGTTTAATGATTGCTTTTGCTCGTTCGAATTGATTTTTTTTAGAAAATGTGCACGTTACAATGTGATTTCTTTTGTTGATTTGGGTATTCTCAATAATCACGACAATCATTTAATATTTTTTACAAAAAAGAGTCTGATTCATCTGAGCATTCACAAAAAAATCCTGTAATTGCATTGAAATAACGAAAAATCAATCTCAATGAATATAAAAATCAATTTCCAAGAATTGTTTTATGCGGCTATGAAAATGAATTATCAATTCGACATGGATTTATATTACAAATGCGCTTGTGAACGGCCACCAATATGGTGATTCATGCTAATGTCGCCGTCGCGTTTGCGGCGATACATGCGATGCAATATGAAAAGAACAGAACTCACACAAACATACGAACGGTTTTGTATACATACTTTTGATTGTCCAGAAAAATTTGCAAAGCTAGCAAAAACCACAGCTTAGAATTCGGTTCAAAAAAAATTCTCGTTCATTTCATTTCGAAAAGTGCACTAAGATGGAAGGCGCTAAAGAGCCAGCAGGGACTGGTAATTTTTTTTTATTTATCGACGAGAACGTATTAGAAAATGTCCAGCATTTCTACTGATTTAATTTAAATTACTTCGTTTTTTTTTTATTTGAGGAATGTCAATTTTTCACATATATAGCAAACAAGTGCTGTTTTTTTTAAACAAATCGTGCATATCATAACGGGAAAAATAACAAATAGATGATTCAAATGTGATAATTCAAGTAGTCTAACAAGTTATGTTCGACCATTAGTGATGTTTTTAATGTTTTTATTTTCATTTCGATTGTTTCGGAATCCGCTAGATTAATAATCGGTGTTGTGAAATAATGGAAAAATGTTCAAAAATATTATTTTTTAATAAATGATGTGCATTTTTTTGGTTGTTGTGTTTTTTTTCTATAGCCAAACGGCCTCGTGATGATCAAGAAGAAGGACCATCAAAACGACGAAATGTTGAAGGTAAGTGAATGTAAAAAATGTGTAACAATCGTTTGTGTGATAAAAATGTGAAATTCAACGTAGAAAAAAAAAACTATAATTTGATAAAGCAGGCAGTGACCGACGAAGTCGAATGCCGCAAATTCTGCATACACGACCGCATGATTTGGCCAAAAGTTTTACCGGTGGCGAACGTGTAAAATTGCAAGCGAATTATTTTCGTTTGTTGAAAACACCCGAATGGAATATTTACAAGTATCATGTCACATTCGAACCGGAATGTTTGTTGAGCCGATTGCGAAATGCATTAATCATGCAACACAAGGAAACGATTGGTGGATTTTTGTTTGATGGTACGCAATTGTTTGTAACACGAGACTTGGGTGGTGACCGTGGGGTTGTTAATTTAACATCAAAAACACGCACCGATGAAGAGTATACTCTGAAACTTCAATTCACCAAAGTCGTTCAAATGGATGAACAAGAATCGCTGCAAATTCTCAATTTAATTTTGCGACGGGCAACAGCTGGTCTGAAGCTACAATTGGTCGGTCGTAATTTCTACGATGCAGCATCCAAGGTAATTTTTGAATTGATCGAAACAAAATCGGTTGTGATTAAATAAATGTGAATTTATCGATTTATGCGTCGTTCGCTTTTTTTCAATCGTAGATTCCATTGAACCAATTCAAAATTGAATTATGGCCCGGATTTGCAACGAGCATTCGCAAGCATGAACAGGATATACTACTAAATTGTGATGTGGCGCATAAGGTTATGCGTATGGACACAGCTTACGATATGTTGCAAGAGCTAGTACGCACCGATCGAGGTGGCTATCAAAATAATTTCAAACAAAAGGCACTTGGATTGACAGTGCTTACCGCATACAACAATAAAACATATCGCATCGATGATGTTGATTTCGACATATCTCCCATGACAACATTCGACCAACGAGGCAAAGCAGTCACTCTTGTGGACTATTACCAAGAGGTAAATTGAACAAAACGTCAAAGAATGATGGAATTTTATGTGTGCTTTCTTTTCTTTGTGTTTGTTAGAAATATCGCCTCACCATTCGGGACAAAAACCAACCGCTCTTGATAAGTCGACCAAAAGAAAAGAACATTCGCGGTGGATCGGATAAACCGATATGGCTCATACCAGAGCTGTGTCGCATCACCGGTTTATCGGAACAACAACGTAACAATATTCCGTAAGTGCAATTCAAATCAATGCCACTAGGATGAATTTTAAAATTAAATCCAAATTCTTTCTAGTTTGAAGAATATGATGAAACCGTATTCACAGATGGTGGGACGCACACGAAAAGAACGATTGTTACAATACAACAATCGTGTGCGCAGCACACCCGAAAGCATTAGTGTGTTGAGAGAATGGAATCTTGACTTGGAAAAAAATTTGGTGAACGTTGAAGGGCATAAGCTCAAGTCCGAAATATTGTACTTTGGTGGCAATAGAGAACATACGTAAGTTGTTAATTGTTTAAATTTTGTCCAAACAAAGCCAAATATTTATGAAATGTAATTGATTATATGATTTGTTTTGATTCAATCAGTGTTCGAGATGGTGGATGGGATCGAGAATGTGGTCGCACTTTGAAACTATTTCAAACAAGTATCGAATTGAAGCGATGGTACATCATATTTCCAAGCATCATGGAACGTGATGTGAACCGATTTGTTAATCGAGGCATCGAATTGGCCGGCAACATGGGCTTCCAAATCAACAAACCACGAAGGTAATGAACTAATTTCGATTTTTTTTTAATTCAAAATTAATTCGAGCATTGTTATTTTAGCGTTAATGTGAATAACGATCGCGCTTTAGCCGGTGAAGTTGATCGCTTGGCCAATACCAATCCACAAATGATGTTTTTCGTTGTAACATCGAATAAAAACAACAACGCCGACGTGTAAGTATAAAGTCAATTGAATCATCAATAAGTTTTGTCCATTTAAACTAAACTCAATGTTAACTTTATTCAAAATGTAGCTACTCGTCGATCAAAAAGAAGTGCTATGGCGATAATGCGATTCCGTCGCAAGTGGCCACCAAGTTCAATCTTACCAAAGATAAAGGATATGATTCGATCGTCACAAAAATCATCATCCAGATGTGTGCGAAGTTGGGTGGGGCACCATGGGGTGCGAAGATCCCATTGGGCGGTGTGATGACCATCGGTTTTGATGTGTCGAAGGATTCACAAAACAAGAATATGTCATATGGTTGTTTGGTGGCCACCATGGATTTAAAAAGTGATTTTAGCTTCTTTGCCACGGTCAGCACTTACTCTTCTTCCGAGACGTTATCGAACGAATTTTCAATCAGCGTAAAAAAGGCCATCATTGCTTACCGCAATAAGCATTCGCAATTGCCCCGAAAGATTATCATCTATAGAGGTGGTGTCGGTGATGGTGACATTCAATATGTCAAGGTAATTTGAACATTTTTTTTTTAATTGAATATCTATCCATATATTGTTCGATCGATATTCATAATTGTCGTTTGTATCAATTTCAAGGATATGGAAGTAAAGAATTTGGAAACAAAGTTGAAGGAGATGTATGCATCTGCGGAACAACCGCTTGAAATGGCATTCATGATTGTCACCAAAAAGATCAATGCTCGCATTTTCAATGGTGATCGTAATCCAGATTGTGGAACCGTCGTGGACGACGTAATCACACTGGCCGAAAGGTAAAATAAAAAATATCAACTGAATTGGTGAATTCTAATAAATGTTGTTGTTCTTTTGTTATAGGTATGAATTTTTCTTGATTTCGGCATCATCAACGCAAGGCACCGTTTCGCCAACAAATTACAACATTATCCACGACACATCGAATCTACCGCCGGATAAGCTACAGATCTGGACATACAAGCACACACACTTGTACTTCAATTGGTGCGGCACCACAAAAGTACCAGCCGTTCTGCAGTATGCCACGAAATTGTGCTTCTTGGTTTCAAACTACATGCATCGTGTGCCACACAATCAATTGGAGCAAAGTCTATACTTTTTGTAAACAACTGGCCACCGAATTTACCAGTTTCCTTTTTTTAAGTATAAGTTTGATTTAAGTTACATCAGCCTTTAAGAGCCAACCCGTACTTGCAAACAAGATTTCAATCAAAGACATATTTTTTACAAAAAAAAAGAGCATGATGTCATAAATGACAAAAAAAAATCGGGACTAGCTTCAAAAGTTAAAAAAACTAAAAAAATTTCAAACTTGCCATATTTTTCATCTTATAATTATAGATAAACATTTTTTCGTTTCTACGAAGAAAATGTCCCCTCAATGGAGACTTTAAAAGTGCTTAATGCGTAAAAAATATTATACGCAATGTTTTGAATGCATACGAAACTCTGTTTTGAATGCATACGAAACTCTGTTAAGTATGGAGTTTTTGTTTGCACTTCTCATAAATAACAGTATATGCTCATGCATAAGCACTTTTCTCTGAACCTACTCGGTTGCATAAAAAGACATACCATATCAAATCCGTTTACGCTATCAGTTTCTTATATTGTGTATGTGGTTTCGTGACTGTCGCCAGACTGTTTACACAGTGGAAGATATCATATTCAAAAATTACAGCAACAAAAAAGCATTTAGTCAGTAATTAAGTTCATGATGAATTTTGATTAAACATTATTCTAATGTTTGAACCGAAAAAAATCAATGTAAACACCAAACCAATACCATTCAATCAATAATTGAATTTATCTCTTTCTTACACAAACAATGTAACTTAATCATAAGTTTGAATTTTAAAGCCGAAAATATCATTTTTCTCCGAAAATAAAATTAACAAAATCTACTCAGAAACCCAGACATATTTTAAATTTTTATTGCAGCCAATTTTCGAAAAATCAAATTTTCTCACGTTTCTCGCATTTTTTTCAACACTTAAAAATAAATCATTCATCAGCTTGGTGAGTAGGAAATTTTATGGCCGAACATAAACAGACCACGAAATTTTTTACAAAAATCATAAAATGGTATAATTTATTGATCATTGATGCATATTGTTTTTTTTTTACAACCATATCTAATTCGCACAATAGGTGGTAAGTTTTAAGATATATTTTGAATTTCAATTGTCCTCACAACCAGATAATGATACAATAAATTATTAACTTAAAAAAATGAAACTAACGCAGAGTAACTGAAACAAGATATTTGGAATGTGTTAACTTTTATTGTTCAAGGACAAAAGTACAGAGCATGAGATGTAGATAGTGTCGTTAGAATGTTTGAAAGTACTGTAATGGAAAGCAGCGTGTTTTTTCAAATCGACAATTAATTGGCGGTATTTTAGTTGGCGTTACTCAATTGGTTGACTTTTTTTACATGCACTCTTTGATAGTCGACGATTTATGCTCAAATTCATTTTTTTTTTTTTTCAAAATTATGATAACGAAATTAAAATCTTCAAAGATTTCGGGTTTCTTATGCGAATAAATACATCTTCTCATAAGAATTCTCATTATATACGTGCCCATAACGGTGCAATTTTCATGGTAAGAATCGTGTTGACGATACGATTCAATTCACACACCATTACCATGTCATAAATATGCAATGCCGCAAATGCGAAACCACAGACCATGGAAACGGTTTTATTTATTTTTCTTTTCTTGCACTCTTTGTTCATATCTCTGTTCAAAAGGAGATATGAAATCAGAAAAAAACCACACATTCATGAAAATTTGTGTGCAAATTTGTCTTCAAGTGTGCCGGCATAGAAAAAAAAAACATATGATAATGAACGGATGAAATACAATACAAGCAAAACTGCAAACGTTACGAAAATAAATAGGTAACAACGAGAGTGAACGATTCATTTCAATGTGTGCGTGTGTTTTGTGAGACGTTTTATTCAACCGAAGCCCAGTTCAATACATGATCTCACACATACATACATTGATATGTTTCGTTCTGAATGTTGTACTGTGTGCGTATTTCTCTCCACATTACATAGTGTAGGTTATACATCTACATCAATCAGTATAGATTATACATATACAAATGTCAGTATACCTTCAGATCGAGAGATACAGTCACAAAACGACAACATTTCTGATCACTGAGCTCAGTATATTTTTGTTCGATACAGTTGTTCACAAGTTGTTTCATTTCATCTTGTTGCATTTCATTTTTTTTAATAACAATTTTAACATTTTAATGCATGAATATTGATAATAAATTTTAACCAATAATTATTTTAACGCGACAAATTAATTTGTGGTAGAATTGCGAATACGAATTTTCTACTCAGAAAAGGATTATTGCATGCAGAAAGTGCAATTTTAAGCGCAAAACGAAGCAACAAGCCCAACTAGTGTAACTAAAAGTGAAACTAAAAGACAAAAGTGTTGCACGAATATGAGTCAACAGCCACGTGGACACCGCAATGGAAGACCATCGGTAATTTTTTACTTTATATTCTTTTATTTTTGGCTTGTTTTTATGAACCCAAATATAATTGTGTGAATAATTGCACTGAACTAATGTTTGTCTTTTCATTACAATTGATTTGTACAAAAGCAACAAGGCGGAAATGCTTGGGGAAACCAAGGAAGGTCCCAAAACCAACAACAACCGAACAACCAAAATCAGCAGCGTCCAACTAACTTTGCTGACACCGATGCATTCGGTCCGCCGTTAGGTGGTAGAGCGCGCAAAAATCAACCTCAAAGTAAGATGATGCTCATTTTTTTTTGTAATCGTTTGCATTTCATTGGTATAACGGAATGCATGAGCACAATTTACTGTTTCATTCTTCTTTCGACTCACTTTTGCATGAAATCAGATCCAAGTGTGCATTGCTTTAAATTTCAATTAAGATGCTACATTTGAAGAAGGCAATAAATCGGAATTTTGCCGACTAAATATAATCTTTGATATCAAAACAAAAGCAGAAGACTATTTTTTAACATTTTTGTGTTTCTTTGTGTCATCACAAAACTACTACAACAGTCAAACTCTAGTATGTCAAAGTCGATATAATTTCATAATTTCATAATATTATGAAATTGGTTATATTGATAGTCCGGCAACAGAGTTTGTATTTGCGTTAATTTCGAATTTATACCGATTCAATTTAATTTCATGGACGATGATAAAGATTCTATACCTTAAAAAAGTGTAGCATGAAAAAATGTGCATTCTCATGCAATGAACACTATGTACGAAGAGTTATTTTGTCTTCGAAGAAGAAGAAGGAAAAAGAAGAGGGGAAAATAACGGCATGAAATCAATGCAATTATCTTTGATTTTGAGTTTTTCAACAATTCTCAATTTATTTTCCAACTGAAAAAAAAAAACAAATTTTATCAACTAAAATTTATTTATATTCAAAATATAACCAATTTTTAATGCAAAAAGTATGGAAATGAAATGCCAATTGTTCTAGTATCATATTTAGAATGATTATAAATTTTATTTTAGAATTTTATCAAATCTTTTTTAACAATTGCAATTTAATTGATTTTACACTATACCTAGGGGAGAATCACGAAACAAAAAAATAGAAATAATGTAAAATAGTCAACAAAATAATTCATTTTACAAGATTAACGATATTATCAGAGAACATTTGAAGTTCTACAAACAGAAAAATGGTATGCTTCTGGGAAAAGTATTTTACTCTCGTGACGGTGTTTCGGAAGGCCAATTTGATCAAGTTATGACCACTGAATGCAGTGCGATAAAAGACGCATGTCAAGAAATTGATAAAGGCAATGAAAAACAGATCAAAATTGTTTTAGTTTTCGTACAAAAACGGCACCATACTCGATACTATACGCATGTAGAGTGAACAATAAATAGATATTCGGCAGTATATTAAAAATTCCTTTCTTCACTTGTTACTTTCAGTTTAAATTATATCGAAACAAATTGATGAAGAATTGTTGGCTAAAAAGAATTTTTAAAAGAAAAAAAAAGTAAAAAAAATTCTTTCAATGTATGTTTTATGCATTTTACAGATACTCAGGCATCTCGTGGCCCGCAACCAACAAATTCTCGTGGTACACAACAGCCACCTGCATCGCGCCCACCACCAGCGGCTTCACAGCCTACCACTCAAGGTAATTTTTTTTTGTTTTTTGTTTAGTCGAATACATTCGTATTGGTATAAGATGTAATAGTTGACTATGTCATTTACATCAATTTTCACATAAAGACCTATAACATGTTGTTCGTTTTTATAAATTTAGCAAGTGCACCGCCATCAGCATGGGGTCCACCAGCCTCTTCTCGTGCTCCACAAGTACAGCCATCTGCACCGCGCCAGCAACCACAACCAAGCGCTCAAGGTACTTTTTAGTTTTCTTTATTTTTTTCTGTTCAGTCAATTACAAAATACAAGATATTGATATCGGACGTAAATATTTGTCGTTTAATTAAATCCAGTTTCATTTAATCGCCTCATATTTCTTTTTTATTCATTTAGCAAGTGCACCACCATCAGCATGGGGTCCACCAGCCTCTGCTCGTGCTCCACAACAACAACAACAACAACAACAACAACAACAACAACAACAACAGCAACAACAACAACAACAACAGCAGCAACCACAACAACAACAACCATCTCGTCAGCAACCGCTGGCTTCTCAGCCATCGACGAGTACTCAAGGTACTTTTTTATGTTTTTTGGATTTTTTTTGTTAGTCGATTACAAAAATACAGTATGCATATTGGTATCTATAACATTTTATCTTGTTCATTCATTTAGCAAGTGCACCACCATCAGCATGGGGCCAACCCGTGAAATCCGCTGACGTTCAACCGAAAAGATCTGCCGATGTTGCAACTGCATCAACATCCAAGTTATCAGGTAACGTGCTAAAACAGTTTTTTTCTTTTAAAAAAATGATAAAAAACACTTCAAATTTCATATCATAGACGAAAAGCAACCTGCTCAAGCATCCAGAGGTGCTATTCCAAAGAGAGGTGAGAGAGCCGAAGAGAAATTGATTGAAACAAAACCAAAAGGAATTACAAAGCAAGCAAGATTTGATCCGAAAAGTCATCAACGAAATTTCGTGGTCAAATCAAATTACTTCAAGCTTGATTCGGCGCTGAAGTTTGAAATATTTCATTATCATGTGGAGTTCAGTCCACCGGTGGAAAACCCATCGTTTCGCAATGCGTTATTAGGCAGAGAACGTGAGAATATCGGAACATTTTTGTATGATCGCGGGTCAAGTATTTTCACCATCCGTGAATTTTATCGGGCCGATAATAGAAATCGAACCCATCAGATTGTAACGCGTGATCGTGAGGAAAGAGAAATTGCAATAAATTTCACCCGCGTTGGTATCATTTCACCGCTTGAAATTCAATTTTTGCAATTGTTGAACATCATTTCGAAAAGAGCCCTCACGAAATTGAATTTAACACGCATTCAGCGTGACTATTTCGATGCTGCAGCAAGAGTAAGTCGAAAATATCCCAAAGAAAATCCAGTCCATTTCATTTATGTGAATTTATTTTTGCCATTAGATTACAATCGCACAGCATGGCATCGAATTATGGCCGGGATATGCAACGTCGATTCGACAACATGAGCAAAACATCCTTATGAATTCCGAAATTCGGTTCAAACTGATGCGGTCGCAAACGGTTTTGCAGCTGATGGAGAACGCCTACAGTCGATTCCGAAATAATTGGCAACAAGCATTTCAACAAGAAGTTCTGGGCATGGTTGTTCTCACCCAGTACAATAACAAAACATACCGCGTTTCTGATGTTATCTTTGATATGTCACCAACAACAACATTTGAGACAAATAATGGCCCAGTTTCGTACGTCACCTATTATAGAGATGTAAGTTTCGCACAGCGATTGAAATAAATTTCATTTTAATCTAATTGATTTGTATGACATTCCATTTTACAGCGGTACGGTTTAAATATCACCAACTTATCCCAACCATTGTTGAGATGTTTACCAACCGACAAAGATATTCGTGGTGCAAGAGGTCGAGACGAGGTACCGCAACCGATAAATTTGGTGCCGGAATTATGTAATCCAACCGGATACACCGATGAAATGCGAAAGAATTTCAATTTGATGAAAGATGTTGCTCAATTTACACGTGTCGGTCCATCGCAACGAGTGCAAAGATTGACGGAATTCAGACAACGTTTGCAAACTACGCCAGATAGTATTGCAGTATTGAATGATTGGGGACTTCAACTTCAAAATTTGGTTACAGTTCCTGCAAACCAATTAAAATGGGAAGCCATTAAATTGGGCAACCGGTATGCATTCTATTTTATTCCAGCTTCTTCAAATTTAAAATGGCAACGACTCTAGTTCGTTTTCGTTTTTGGTTTATTAAATTTTTTTATTGAACCGCACCCGAATACGAACGTTGACACCTCTTTTTGAATTTCAAATCATCATTTTATTACATTTTAAACGTTTTACTACATTAGCGACATTGTGGCCACGAATGCTGCATGGACCAATGCACTGCAAGGAGCAAATTCAATGTATTTTAGCAAAAAATTGGAAAACAATCAGTGGGCAGTGGTTATACCAGAATCGATGAAGCGGGATGCGGAAGGATTCATCGAAGAACTCCGAAAAGTGTCAGCAGGCATGAAATTCGATCTTGGAGCCCCGCTCAAGTGCGTAAAAAATGTCTAACGATATTTTTTTTTTCGTATAAATAAAATAAGTATTTTTTTTTTGCCCATAGGTTCATTATACAAGATGACCGCATCACAACACTAAATACAGTGTTGGAAAATATTTGCCAGAAAAATCTGAAAATGGTGTTCGTTGCAGTGAGCAACAATCAAGCCGATCGCTATAGTGCGATTAAGAAAGTGTGCACCGTTCGCCATGCACTTCCGTCCCAAGTGGTTACTCGTCGTGTTATGGATATGCGTAATATGAGCAAAACGCGATCGGTCGCAACAAAAGTGGCCATTCAAATGTAAGAAAATATAGATTTTTTTATTGTTAAATCACTTCGATTGAATAATCATAATTTTCATTTTTATATAGAAACGCCAAAATCGGAGGACAGCCGTGGAATGTCAATCATCCATTGGAGAATGTGATGTTTATTGGTTATGACGTATGTCACGACACACGTGATAAGGCACGTTCATATGGTGCATTAGTCGCCACCATGGACATGAAACACTCCAGTAATTATTTCAGTACTGTATCAGCCCACCAGAATGGAGAAGAGCTATCCAACAATTTATCGCTTAATGTTACCATGGCACTGCGACAGTATAAAAGTGAACGTGGTATGCTACCCGCACGGATTTTGTTCTATCGTGATGGTGTCGGCGAAGGTCAGACCAACTATGTTTATCAACATGAGTTGGCACATTTGCTCAGGACACTGAAGGAATATTATAAAGAACAGCCCGTTAAATTGGCCTTTGTCATTGTATCGAAGCGAATTAACACGAAATTCTTTGAAGAAAGAGGCAATGGTCCTGCAATGAACGTTCCACCAGGAACCGTTGTTGATGATGTCGTTACGTTGCCAGAACGTTACGACTTTTTCTTGGTATCACAAGCCGTTAACCAAGGCACAGCAACACCCACAAACTACAACGTCATTTACGACACATTCGGACTGCCACCGGACAAGCTTCAAATCATGACTTACAAATTATGCCATCTTTACGTGAGTGTCTTAATGAGAATATCTACTTGATTTGATATCGAACAATTACTCAAACATTTATTTGCATATTTCAGTACAATTGGGCGGGAACAACGCGTGTACCAGGTAAATTGAAATTAATCACATTATTTTTGTATTCAAACATTTATGTTTGCATTTAATTTACTTTCAGCTGTCTGTCAGTACGCGCACAAGTTGGCATTTTTGGTCGGTAACTTTTTACATACTGCTCCAAGACAAGAACTTTCACCATACCTATACTTCCTATAAGCGAAAGGAAGTCATCAAATCCACCTGAATTGGTTTATACCAACGTTTTCTCAGCACCTTCGTTTAAGTTCATTACAGAAAAATCAAAATTTAAAATAAGACATTCTAACGAATTAGAAGTTAATTAATTGAGATCTACGGGTGAATTTCTACCACTTATTACAAAGAATGAAATGCATTTTTATCATATATTTTTTTAATAGACATTGCACCTCGCAGGTAAACAATGCCTTTTACGTTTAAGCTAGAGCATGTTTTAAAACAATTATTGGTTCGTACAAATGGATGACAAATCGAGTGAATAAAAAAAGACAATATATTCTTTCAATGACAAAAAAATATATATTTTTTATAAAGATATATATTTCTATTCATAACAAATTTTTTTAAGACACAAATTGTTTCAAAGATGGATTTAAAATTTCGTTACTATTTAAATAGATAGTTAACGAACCAATAGACAAAAAAAATTATGTAGCAATCTAGATACCAACAAGTCACTTTCAAGTCAATTTAAAAGAACCACATATTTTTGATAATACATACTGTCTTTGTATTGCAACAAAAAATTTTTTTTATTATAAATAAAATGTGGAAAAAAATTAAGAAATTAAATATTTCATTCTTGATCTTTCTTGCAACAGGTGTATGTTTTCGTTTCAGTTCAAAATCCTGTGTTTGTTTCAGTTCAAACATAATTCCTGTCATTTGATCCAGCGTCAATGTTTTGCGTGAATTTATATAATGTAAAGCGAGCTGAATGAATTTCTAGTCGCTTCGTCTTGGCCAGTATTTGTTGTCTATTTCTTTTGTCAACAATAACTCCTATATAACAATCACCTAAATTCAAATAGTCCACGGCCACTGATTTGTTAAATAAAATAACGTTTCTACTGAAAGCATCTCGGTTCATATGCAACACAAGCTAAGTACACGCGGTATATTATGTAATATTTCAAAGACCAGATCGATTACACCAACGCTTATAAATCGAAGACGCAATAAAACGACGCTTGTAAATATTTTGAGTGTATTCAATCAATTCCAAAATAAATTCAAGTGCATGCACCTCCTCGGTACCTATAACAGCTCTGATGAGCCCAACAGAAGGTATTCCATCGATGAATATTCTGAATTAATAAATAATTTGTCTATTTGAAAAAAAAAAGAAAAATTGTACCGAACTTGCTGACTATGTTCAGACATTTATTAAAAGTTCATTTTCTAAATTTATTTAAGTTCATTTTCAAACATATTTTCACAAAAATAACAACAGAAAAATTTGCTAAAGAAATAGCATTAGGAAAAGATGGATCATGTTTTGTTCAGATTACATATTGGATAATTTTTTTTTATTTATATATACATAGATATTTCATGGAATGAAATTAAACAGTTGAGTAAGTTTCAAACCCGACCAACTGTTTGAATTTCGTTTTGTAGACGATTTTCTTATTTGTTTCAAGAATATATTAACAAAATTACTGAATCCAGAAAATTAAATACTGATAATTTGTTGAATGACACTTTATGTTGGCTGACGTTATTTGATTTTGTGCATTTTCTTTTGCGCACACAACATTCAACACACTTCAATATATTATCGTAATTAGCGAGCTCCCATGTCTTCTGGATTGAACATACCCTGCAAACAAAAGCAAAACAATTTAAATTCAGATTTTTTTTTTTAATTAAAAAAAATTCGTAAATGTTTGAAAGTTCAAAATACCTTGGCACGTCGCAAAATCGAATCTTTGGATGCATCGTATGGATGATCTTTGGATGGAATTTCCAAAACAGCTGGCAATGGTGCTGTATGTGCATCGATCACATGACGAATCAATTCAGCGTAACTTTGGTTTATCAAAATAATATCAATGTCATCGCGTTTAATGAAACGTTTGAAGCATTCTTCAATTTCACCAATTGGTGTATCTATTGTGAGCAAAACGAAAGGTTACAAGTTAGATCTGGAGAAATATAAATCGAAATTGGGCGATTTCAAATGGTCTTTACTTTTGTCGACGACCATAAAGTTGGGATGACGATTTTTATTGATTTCACCAACACCTCCCAATAAGAATCCAACACAAGTGTCCTCATCACCAATCACCGAGATAAGTTTTCCTTTTACAGCCGAATGCAATGCCATTTTCGTGATTTAATTGTGATTTCTTTAAGTCGAACAAAACTTCTTTTTTTGCAACAACCAAACAATTTAGTGTTCTGAGTTGTGTGTTTTACTCTATATCACAATCACAATTTTCAAACTGTCACCTGACTTACGTCGTGATGAGTTAAAAGAATTGAAACAAACACTGCAAACGAAACGAGACAAATAGATAGTATTGCCACATATATATTTGTCTCACCATCCCTATCGATCGACCATTGTAGCATTGAATACGTAAAATGTCAAAAAGAATAGAAGTGTCAAATCATAACCTCACAAAACAATTGGCTGTAAACAAACGTTTGATAAACACTAATTATTTAGATATTTTGGAAAACCCACCGTTTTTATCACAATGAATCCATTAACGTAAGCAAATTTGTGTATTATTATCTTTTAGGTGAAATGATTAATGTTTGTTTGTTTCTTTGTTTGAAAATAGGAATATGAAAAATGTAACAAAACTCAGTGAAAATGAGTTGAAACGAGGCGGCACATCATCTTGGCATGATGAATATAAAAATAGCGCTTGGATTTTTGTTGGCGGTTTACCATATGACCTAACCGAAGGTGATGTGATTGCGGTGTTCTCACAGTTTGGCGAAATAGTCAATATAAATATGATACGAGACAAACTGACGGGTAAACAAAAAGGCTTCTGTTTTATATGTTACGAAGATCAAAGATCGACCGTATTGACCGTAGATAATTTAAATGGTATTAAGGTGAGGATTGCTCTTTTGTGTTGTTTTCCTCTCCACCTTCGTTATTTTTTTATACAAATGGGAAATGTTTTGTAGATTTTGGGTAAATCGCTGCGAGTGGATCATGTGAAAGATTATAAACCGCCAAAAGATAATGACAAATATGATGATGAAACTCGACAATTGCATGAAGAAGGATGTGCACCAAGAATGCAATTGCCAACAAATCAAATAAAACAAGAAGATCAGCCTAAAACAAAGCCTAAAGAAGAAATCGTCGATGGAGTGCGATTACCAATGCGTCTACCAATCAGAGATGTTAAACGAGAAACTGACATTCCAAAGAAGGTATGTCGGCTTTTTGAGAATCATTTTACCATTTTTACACTCCGTTATAAATAAATCGTGGAAATTTTCAGGAGAAAAAGGAAAAAAAGAGCAAAAAACACAAGAAAGAGAAAAAATCGAAAAAGGACAAGAAAGAGAAGAAAAGCAAAAAGAACAAAAAAAGGAAACGTTCATCATCATCAAGTCGAAGCTCATCATCGGACTCTGGCAGCGATTCGGAAACAGATCGCCGACGAAAAAAATACCGCCATTAAATTTGGATTTCAATTGTTATCGTTTTATAGATTAACATTAAGGATATTTTTTATTCTCAAGACCGTTTCGCTCAAGAAACTACGTTGGTGTCGAAAATACAATTTAAAGAGAGACATGTAAATAAAGGCTTATGACATCATGGAAGGAAACAATTATTTGACACATTTTTAATGAAATAAAAAAAAAATTTGATACATAAAAATCTTCTCTGCCATAATAGCATCATTGAATTTCGGAAAATCGCTCTATTTTGATTTTTACTCATTTTTTTCCGAAAAATCTGTGAATAGAATGTGTTTGTATATACCAAGAGTGAAAGAAAGGTGTACCAATATATTTGGATTTTGTCAGCTCATCTGAAACAATAGAAATGATTGTTGTATTGGATACGTATAAAAGTACTACCATAACTATAACAATCATTGTTTTCACTCTGTATCATCGTCTAACGTTATCCAGATCACAAAATCCAAACATATTGTCTGACCCCAAGAAAAGAAAATTGATCAATAAAAATGAATTTCCATGTATTTGTTTAAAAATCGATCTATTCAATGGCAGGGACCGGTTCGCGCATATTTCTATGCCTGATAGCTATGCTAAGCATAGCGGAGACGCAAGCTGCAATGCACCCGTCGCCATTCGATTCGAGCTATATTGTATGCGTACGTCTCTCAGTGCACGGTCGCCTGCATACATGTTCGTTGTATTGTTCATATAGAGTGGACGGCGATGCGTTGGTTGCGTTTGCGGCTATGCTTGGCATATTTATGCTACCTAGCGTATTTAGGCAAGCATAGAAATATGCGCGAACCGGTCCTTGTTCAATGGTTTTTATTTCATCTTCTTTTTTCTCTGACATAAATATTTTAATTGACACATTATTTAATTGTGATGCATGTAAATGTTCAATAAACTCAACTTTATTTTGAAAAATATGTATAAACATAAAGATATAGTGATGATGCTGTTAATAATTTGCATTTTAACATTTAAAAAACACACACTTATAATTTTCTGTAAACTCTTAATTAAAGCATTTCTTAGATCTATGATAATTCGTTCTTCTTATTTGTTTTCTCTGTTTTTTTTTTTTTAATTTACAATTACTTGTACTTCGTAGCCGTTATTTTATTTTATTAAAAAACAATGAACAAATTTAAATTTAAAAAAAAAATGTGATGGTGGGAATTCTAGTTCCTGCACTTGTTGCATACATAAAGGTATCGAATGATGATTATTTCTTAATGTGAGTTGGTAAAACGAAAATACAAATGAATCTTAATAAATTTTAAGCATCATTCGATGCTGAGATTCTAAACCGTATTCGATCTATTGTCTTTTTCATTTGATTTAACTGTTTTGCATTAGTGGAATTGAAATATTCAAACCGGTTGAGTATAAGTTGTTTGCACGTGCATAAGCCGATCAGTGCTGTTTGTCAGTGAAGGCTATTCAAATCGTTTAATCACATTCTTCTTTAGCAGATAATAAGAACTTTTGGCAAAAGATGGTTACGTTGCCTGTAATGAAATCAAAATAATAGACTCTTAATATTGTATACATTTTTTTTTCACTTTGAACTGTTACCAATGGCATTTTGAAGAAATTGCGGTTTATTCTTCCACACAACTCCGAAATAATAGACAGGTATGCCAGCGACTGTAATGAGAACACCCATTCCGACTTCGTATGGTGCAACATAGATTGGCACAACCATCAAAAATGCACTGATTATGAAAAATGTGATTGGTATAATGAGCGGCAACTGCAAGAAAAATACCATAAAATCATAAAAATCCATTTGATGTCGACCTATTGCAAACAGACAACTTACCTTGATTGGTCGATGCATATTTGGTCGCTTGTAGCGGAAATATAAAACAGACGATACTGACAGCATAATGAAAAACGATTCCACAATCATACTGTACGTTATCAGTACATGAACGTCGCTGATAATTAACATAACTAATGACAAAATACACTGAAATGAGAGAAAATCGCAATTAAAATTTCGGAAAATGGTTTAGGCAATGTTTTTTTTTGTACCAGAAAAACAAGTGATGGCACCGGTGTGAATGTTTGTATATTGATGTATGAAAGTAATGCAGGCATATGACCATTTCGTGCACCAACAAAGCACATTCGAGATGATGCCATAATATGCACACAAAGACCGCCAAATGCTGAAATAGCTACCATGATCGGAATTATCCATGCACCGTATGTCAGCACTTTATTTCCAAATGTCTGGAATTTAAAAATAAAATCGATTTTTGAATTTTGCTTCAAATTCGGAGAAAAAGCGCAGACATACCACAGCAATTGCATTCGAAGCATTCATTTCATCCACGGATAAAACTGCCAGATATGCCATATTCGCCAAAACATAAATTGCCGTCACTAATGGCAATGATATATAAATGGCACGAGGTAGATTTTTGTGGGGCTCTCTCAATTCCTCAGTCATAAAGTTCAAATAGTTCCTTTGGAAACAAACGAAAATCGCAGTAGTAATTTGAGTTTTTTTTAGATTAAAGAGAATAAAGAATTGAACTATCTTACCAGCCTGCATAAGAGAAAATGCCCGAATAAAATGCAATCGATAATTTTCCAGGATCCGTTTCAGTATTTTCAAATGGTTTATCAAAATTTTCCATATGACCTATGCATTCGAAAAAGATAAAAATTTATAAGCGAAAATAATTCGAAGAGAAAATTGCCTGGCTGAAAATATTCCAAATAATTTACCCGAAGACATGTAAACCACACCGACAATTATAACAATAACAAGTGCCGCAATTTTGGTGAACATAAACAGATTTTGAAGCTTTGTTGTGAACTTTACGTCATAGCAATTGATGAATGTTAAGAAACCTGTATTCAAAACGTTTTATCAAACAGTTTTTTATTTTACGTATTTATATAAAATCACTTGGTACAATACTTACAAATAGTAACGGCTGCCAAAAGCTGTGCTGCTTGAACTGGAACAACGCAATCATTGAAGAATGGCTGCAGCACATAATTCGAAAAGGTTAATCCCATGATGGCATTTGTCGTTGGTCTAAAAAAAAATTATTTCAATTAATTTCTTGTGTTTCTTCGAATTCACACGGAATGGCCATTTGGAACATACACAAAAATGAATAAAGCATCCCAGAGATATAGAAAAGCGGGAAAACCGCCATAGGCCTCATTGATGTATGCATAATCGCCGCCAGAAATCGGCAGTATTGTACCCAATTCAGCGTAACATAGGGCGCCAATCATTGACAGAAATCCACAAATCACCCATATAATCAATGATGTACCAACGGCATTCACCTCTTTGATAACACCCTTTGGTGACACAAAAATTCCTACAAAAACATTGAAAATCTCATTAGCAATGTGTTCAAGGTGTTCTCAAACTGGTATAAATCCAACCTGATCCAAAAATGATGCCAAGAATGATTGCGGTTCCTTCGACCAGGCCCAATTGTTTCTTCATTTTAACTTTGCCATTATCCGATGTGCTTGCCTCGCCTGGCATCACTTCACTCGATGGGCTCACCAACGGCGCTTCAGTTGGTGATTGTGCATTATTTGCCGACGGCATATTTGATACCTTTATATACTTGAATACCACTGAATAAAACCTCAACTCTAGCTAAACTGCAAATAAGAAATAACGAAAAACATTGATTAAAACAACTTACATCCTGTATTCGCCTGCATTTATACTGTTTTATTTATCTTCACAGTAATAATTTCATAATTTATATATTGTGGCACGTTATTGCATACACATTTTATACAAGAATTACGGTTAATATGCGATAAACAATGTTTGTTGGCCGTAATAATTTGTGCAAATGAGCGTAGCATCGTAAAAAATACGGAAATTGACATGTGCCGTTAATTACAATAGGCTGAAAGAAGCCTAGCCAAGATAAAAATAAAGCAGAAAAGAACGCGTTGAAGAGGGTTCATGATCAATCAATTAGATTTCATTAAAACTTTAGATCAATTTGATATTGTCATTCTCGTTTTATTCACTCATAATTTCCTACATGAATATACACTTTTTTCGAACAAAATAATAAATAGTAGCATCGCATGCGACCGATATTGCCATGAAAATGTATGCTCCGTGATGCGTTCAACATGTGAATTTACGATCGCTTCAAAATGCCAAACAAAATAATGCCCGACTCTGTATCTGTCATAAAGTTTTTTTCCACCGTATTACGACTGCAAAGATTTTGACGAAACAAAATGTGTTTGCATGCATTGAGTTTGATAATTGAAATAACCCTTTTTTCTGCTTTCAACAAATGCAGTCAAGAACAATAGGAACCAACTTTGTATATATGCAATAAAAAAACTCAACAAATTTATTGAATTACAAGCGATACAACAATAGATTTTTTATTGAAATCAAAACCGGCCATTTGATGAACGGCATTTTTTCACAATACAAAATCAAAACATTGTATTCCACTTGATTATAGTGCTCACTATATGTCACGGTTCAATTCAAAACAATATATGCAAAAAAAAAGGCAAACGAATTTGTTTTTCAAGTTTTACGTGGAAGATAATTTTATTACTGTCTTTTTCAGTCATTTTTTTTTAACGAGAATGCTGTTATTCATAAAAAAACTCGATAATGAAAAAGTAAAACAATTTTTTTCAATCTGAATTAAAGATCACGATTTGAATGTAAATGGGTGCCAAATAAGCAACACACTGAGCACGACGATTGATTGCTTATTTTGAAACAAAAATATAAACAGCAGCAGCACGACTGAGTAAAATTCCAAATCACCGCTGAGATATATTTTTATCAATATATTTTTTGAGAAAATTGGCAATCATATTGAGTCAGCAAGTTTTTTTGTTGATATACTTTTGTCACATTATCATGCAGTGACTGTTCGTGAAATTGTGATATGCTGTCCGAGAGGTGTTTGGTGACAATCATATGACGAATATTTGAACAGATACTGAATATTAATGAAGCATTTCCGAACCTTTTTTAAATGCACTTGACTGCACCACATTGATCTTTATTCAAACCGTTTTTGTTGAAAAAACCGTGTGTTTTTCTGAGTTGACTCTCTAGAATCAATCTATTTAATTGACATAAATTGTGTTGCGTGTGCAATGTGCGTTCTTGCATTTGATGGAATTCGTGGTTTTGACCTAAATCAACTTTTTCCATACATATTCTACAGAAATTGTGAAAATCAAATAAATTTCACGAAACGAATGAAGTGAAGTGAAAAAGAAAGAGATAGATACCAATTGAGTGTAAATTATAATCAAATATCACCGACGAAATCACTAGCATTGCATTTAAAAGTACCAATATGCTTGGTAATTTGCAAAGCAACAGGTCATTAATTGGAAGATTACCATCATGCTTGGTACACAGTACGGTGGCCTCTTTTACTTAAATCGCCTTTGCAAAACATTACAGTTGCCAATTTGCAACACTGATAAATACTGTTAACGGAATGTGTCACCGGTTTTTTCGCATTATTTGTTTATCATAAAAAAAAGCGAAAAACAATTTGAAATTCAATACTCAATATAAATAGTCTATTCAATATAATGAAACGTTACGTTCTGTGTCTCGTATGCGTAACACCAATGTCAAACACTTTTTTTTCGATCGATCAGTATTTTTTTTCTCTTTTATATCTGTGTTACTTAATAACTAACAAATGCAAATGGTATTAGTTCAAAAACCGAATAAAAAAACGGTCACTTTATGTCGATTTAAAGAAAACGCTGACAAAATTATGAATTGCGATGCATATGCTCACGTTTTCGGTGAAGAGATTTCTATTAAATTGTTAGAATTCTCTGTTATATTAATCTAATGGAAAAAAATGAATTTCACTGTTCAAAAATTGAGAATAATATCAAGAGTTGTGATATCTGTCAAAATTCTCAACCTTCTTTACCTTTTTTATGGAATTGAATGCTTGTGTTTCAACCAAATTTATCTATTTAATAACAACAGAAAAAATACACAAACATAATACACGTTTTACATATTCACAGTCGTTTATTGTTTATTATTCGCCCTTTTTTTCGGTCGATAAATTAATTTGGGATTTGTTTACTAGTGGAATATTTGAAATGAACCGTTCAATTGAAAACTATGAACGCCGATTGTTTGAGTACTTTTTTGTTCATTGGTAACAATTCTTTACTGGTCGATCTAACAACATTTCCATTCATATAAACGAATAGAATTCGACAGAAGCGGAAAGTTGAAAGGAGAGGCATGTTTTCAATACATGCACATATATTGCCGGTTGCATGTGAACTGTATTACGTTCTAAGAGCAGATTGTGTACATACAAACACACTCTCACATACACACCGACACAGACTCCTTATTCCATATATATATTCTTTTTAATTCGACAGCACAACGAGAGACGAAGGAGAGAATAGAAGAAAAAAAACCGTAGAGCACACGGCATCTCAAATTAACATGCGTTGAGATGTGACAGATCGGCAGATGCGATACATTGTACTGAACAAAATTTCGAACAAAACTATAAAGTCAACTGATGCAATCGCAAAGATTTCTTTCACATAGATGGATTTTCTAAACTCTACACACTTATTACGGACACGCACTTTGATAAATTACAAGTCTTTGGTCGCTTGTTTTTAAATCGAATTTGTTTTTTAATTATTAATCAGACGCACACATGTTAATCGTCTCATAAACATTTTCAAAAAATCATAACCGTTGCGCTCGTCAAAATAAATACCTCTTTTTTTATTTCAATTATCCTATTAACCAATTGCAAAATGATTCATTAGTTTTCGTGTGGTAAAATGTTTTCATATTGCGATAACACTTTGCAATAATAATCGCAATATTTATGTGAAATGCAAAATAAAATATTATGTCTAACGACGGTCACACAATCAATGTTATGCACAGTTTTTCGTGCTTTATTTTTCGTCGTGCCATATCTTCTTAATGAAATTAATTCAAGTAACATGTGCCAAAAAAACCGCACACTTTTCGAATTTTGAGCATACATATACAATTACAAGTTGAAAATATTTTTAATTAAATTTCTTCGTTGAATCAGTGTGCAACATACCGAATAGATTCAAAAATCTGGATTTTCAATAAAAAAAAGTTCTGAAAAGTTTTATAAATGAAACCGGACTCTTTGGCCATTTGCACGCACAAAATGATGATACACTCACACACACGCCGCACACTAACTATCTAATTCAAACGTTTTAAACTGACATGCTCACTATTTTCAAGCGAAAAAAATAAATAAAATATGTAATGTTGACCTGATTTAAAGTTCGAACCACATTTTTACGGCTACGTCTGCTTGGTAAATAAAAAACATAACCTGAAACGTGAAAACGAGGAAGACTTTCTTTTCTATAGTCGTGGTATCGGTTCCGTATATATATCGTAAATCATATACGGCTATGTGGATTTTACGTTCACTGTTCACTCTCAACATCATCATCATCATCACGTTGATGACGGACACATCGTACTCCCATATGCAAGACAGTATATGCCAAATGCGTCGACGATATGCGCAGTAGCAAGAAAAATAGTTATTTTGATTGAAATAAAACCAGCAAAATATAGACAATTTTTTTTTATTTTCGTTGGCTTCCATATGGTTGGCAATATGATTTTTATTCAGGATATATGCGAGCATTTTTCACAATTGAAATGTTAAATTAATCTATGTAATTCTGTGATTTGATGGATTTTTGAGGCGATCATTTATCTTGATTGAGTTTTGATTGAATCATATCTTTGAATTGTGACAAAATTTTATTTTCACGCTTTTGACGTTCGTCTTTGCTAAACATGGCCAATGCTCGTTTCTCATCAGCCGAATAAATTTGATTTTCCTTACGAATACGTACAGCTTCCATACGCCGATGCCGGCTACCGCTCATAACATAACCAACATTTTCAAATGTCGCAATTTCATCGGATGTTAACCCGATTTCACCTCTTCTCGGAATTCGTTTACCTTCGGCAATATAAGCCGCCTATAGAAAGAAAGAAAAATTAGTACACTATTTCTTTTTTTTATTTGTTTCATTGAATGACTTACCATAGCTGCACCTTCACCGGGTAACAATGCATGACCAAAATCTTTGTGCGACAGACCAGATGTATTTCGAACGGATGGTCCGACCTGTGATTCATCGTCACCATCGTCTCGTTCGCTTCTCTTCGATTTCGATCTGACTGCATCTGGTTTTTTGAATGGATTGTCAGCATTCCGTTCAATCCAAATATCTTCGCCACCACTTGCATCAGACTCACCGCTGCTATCATCACTGCTATCACTTGAGCTTGAAGAAACCTTCTTCTTTTTCTTCTTCTTTTTGCTGTCTTTTTTGTTTTTGGCTTTTTTAGTCTTTTTCGATTTCTTACTTTTCTTTGATTTTTTCTTTGATTTGTCATCCTTTTTCTTCTTCTTTTTCGATTTTTTCTCATCTTTTTTCTTCGCATCATCGTCCGACGATACATATCTACGAAAAAAAAAACAAAAAAATTAAATACATTGTAAGCTTCATAGAATGCACACCTAAATGCTTACCTTTCGGATGGCGATGGTGATCTGCCCCAAACCACAGCGGTGCCTTCTCTTCCGATAACTTCACGTTTTGTACGTCGTGTATCCATAATATCTTGTTCAAATTGTCGCTTGGTATTTTTATCATATCCTAATCCATGGCGTCTGCGAGATTCATTTCCCATTCGGTCATCTCTTCTTTCGCCCCTTTCGTTGTCATTCTCTCGTCGTCGATACGATGTGTCTCTTCTTCGATCATTTTCCGAATATTTATCATTTGGCCAACGTTCCTCATTTTTTGTACCATTTACTGGCGCCGTTTTATTGTCACGACTTCTGCTGCGACTCTTTTTTCGTTGAACATGCCGGTCTCTACTGTTTTGACTTCGACTGCGACGTCTGTGTGATCGTGAATTAGACCGACTCCGTCTGTATCGACGATTTCCGCGTTCTCTTGATACTGATCGATCTCGACGCGAAGAGGATGATCCTTTATATCGGTCATCATTCGATTTGGATCGACTTCTTCGCGAATTATTTCGTTTGTCTGGCTTTCTTGATCTGTCTTCATCACTTGAACTGGACGACGAACGACTTGAACTCGAACTACTGTATCGTTTCTTATTACGTCCATCATTGGTGCGACCACGAGATCGTGAATCGCGTTTACCCCGTGAATTACTCCGGCTTTTCGATCTCATTTTGGCCCTACCACTATGCAATACGTTTAAAAAACAATTGCTGTTTTGATATACTGTAGCATTGACAAACGTATGAAGCAACAGCGACTACACCACGAACTGTCACACTCAGTATATATTGGCGCCACTTGAAAACTGTGTCTACTGTCAAAGTGAGCAAATCGTCGGTATTTTAAGCAACTTTGTTGTTATCATTATTCAGAAAAATGCTCAATTTTATCATTTCTCTTGATAAAAATTGTTGTTGTACAAATATTAAAAATTTAATAAATAAATTAACACATTTTGCGAAAAATATGATCAGCTCTCAATATTTAGAATAGAAACACTATCATTGTTTAGAAATGAATATGAACAAAAGTAATCATTTGTTCAATGTGGACACAAAGTCCAGCCGATATCATTTATTCAAGAGGAAAATTGATGATAACGAGCACAATGCGTTATTTTGAAAACAAATGCTATCCATCATCAATGGAGAAAAACACGTGCAACACCATCGTTCCCCATCTAGAACGAATGATGCGCACAACACTCCAATCGAACTGTCACACTGACATACAACTACATTTATCACTGAAATGCAAATAAGAAAAAAACAAAGTAAAAAAGCAGCAGCAGCAACAACAACAGCTTAATTACGATGTGCGCGCATTGATACTATTTCCACACATATTCGTTTCTGACGTACATTGATTCACACATGCACACAGGGTTGATGTGAGATTTCGCCTGATATTTTTAAAGTCGACTTAGATCCAAAACAAATTCAGTTGAGTTCTGAGTTTTGTTGAAAAAACTGCGATTTTCCGTCTACGTCTGACGAATTGAAGTGAAAAATAAAATCAACAAATCGCGCGACACCACAAGACGACTTAAAATCTCTCAAGTAATGTTGTGTTCGTTTTAAATTCTATTATTATAATCAAGAGTTTATGCATAGTCACATACACATATATTTTACAGCATTTTTTTTCTTTTTTTTTTTGCTAAATGATAATATTCGTTTACTAATTGTTGGATGAATTTTGTGTTTATTTTTTTTTTTGTTTTTGAAAAAAAAGGTGTATCAATTTTTGCGATATGGCTTCAGATAAAGTAAACGTATGCATTGTGGGCTCCGGCAACTGGTAAGTTTCGATTTATCAACATTCTGTGTTAACATTTAAAAAATAATTATGTGATAATCAACATTTTTAACTCATGATTTTTTTTGTAAAACCAAAAAAACGGTAACCAAAAAAATTCATCGAAATTTGCCCTTCAACGTAAACGAAACAGAACAGAACGAAAAGAATAATATTAATTTAAAAAAAACGTTGCATATCAGATTTCAAGTCATGCGACGGGTTTTAGCATTGACTGGGAAGTGTTTTGGTGCAAAATGTGCAAGAATCATTATAGAAAAAAATATAAACCAATTTCAAATAAAAACTATTCATTCACCAAAAATTGATTCACCAAATAAAAAAAGATTTGATTATCTTTGAAACAAAAATAAATCTTGTTACTTATATAAGAACAACAACAACAAAAAAAATAACTGAATAACTGGTTTCTTCGCATAATGAAATTCCGAAATCAAAGAAAGTGCATACAATGATTAAGTGAAATTATCAACAAGGTTGGTTCACCGTAATTAGAACAATTCAAGTTTTCCACTATCCGTGAGCATGGTATTACTGTTATTGTTGTAACAAAGAAATTATTACATAAAATGCGTTATCCTTCAATTTTCAACTGAATTCAAGGTCACATGTTTTATGTGTGTTTGTTATATTTACAACCGATTCAATGTATATGGGTACACAAACCGCATAAACCCGCACATTCAATTCTCGTATCAAAAAAATAATGAGCGCGCGTAAATTTACGGATGCTATCACCCACCCCGCATTGAAGAATGCATTGTTACAAGTGTTTGATTTTAATACGATTGAAATTGCATAAAAAATCATAGCTATTGTTATTGTGTCATTGCAGGGGTTCAGCTATTGCAAGAATTGTTGGTGCAAATGCAGCCAACTCAGCCCAATTCAATGAACGCGTCACAATGTATGTGTTTGAAGAAATGATCGAGGGAAAAAAGCTCACCGAAATCATTAATGAAACACATGAAAATGTTAAATATTTGCCTGGAAAAAAATTGCCCTCAAATGTGGTAAGTAGAGAAGATGAACAAAATAAAAATCAATCATTTTGACACAAATGTTGTGTTGTTTTTTCTGTTAAATAAAAAAAAAAATTGCGATTAAACTCGACCAACGGACCTATGATACGGTCATAATGTAAACAGGTTTCTCATTTCAATTTGTTTAAGTGGAAAATCATTTGATACAACAAAACGCACTTTGAATTTAGTGAATTAAAATAAAATACGGGGTAAATGTGTATTGCAAGTGTATGCGCTTTCTCCTCTCGTGCATACATGCAATGCGCTTGACATTCGAAACCTTGACCTTAGAAAGAGCAAAAAAAACTACGGCAAAATCGAACTTGAATCAATTTTAAATCATTGTCTATACACATTTCATGATCATCGTGTTAGCGGTCGTAATTGTTTCTCGCTTTTTTTGCTCACTTGGCTATTTTGAATATGCCACTTTTTTGGCATCCATCTCGTCAAGATCAAAATAAGCGAGATATCAATGTGAATGTCTTCTAAATATACAAATTCTTTGTAACCGAAATATAATTGGCAAAGTCTCAAACAAACGCATCCCAAGCAGGATAGCGAACAGAACCAAAATGACAATACAGTGTCGGTCCGGTCATACTTTTTTTTCTCGTGTGTTTTGTTCTCAATATTTTTGTTTTGTTTTATCTGATATGTTGATTTGTTAAAATGATCTTTTTTTCAGTTCGTCACTATTTTGACACCCATAATGCGTCTTTCGATAGAATGCAGTACACAAAGTGATTACTTAACACTTGATTCCTACACATTAAATGTGAAAAGCAACAACTCGAATCGGAAACGACACATTGAGATATTCGGTTCACTTTAAAGTATTTTTTTTCTTCTTCTCCTTCTTGGGTATATAGAAAACGATTATGTAGCATATGAAAATCAGATTTTGAATTACTCAGTGATTTAGCAGCATTATTGTTGTTCGCAAATACACACATAATTGAATTTTTACATCAGTTGTCGGTAGCAGATCTCGACAGCGACAATTGACAACAGAACTTCAAAGAAAAACAACAAAATAATACGGTTTTTTGTGTGCGGCGATGATTCAAAAATATCGCGATCGCGACTGTAATTTATTATTGTTCATTGGAATCGAACAAATACGGACAAAAACTTCCTAGACTCTTATCAAATCATCATCATTATTAATTTAGATTGCAGTATAAATTGAAAGTAGTTAAAATTCTATTTACGACTCATTAAAATTTTGAGTGCTTCTTTTATTCATTACCAACCTAGTGTTTGAGTCAACTAAATGCTTAAAGATCGGATTAATACTTTGGTTCGAAAAATCATCTTGTTATTGAAAGAAAACCCAATGATTTTTTATTAATTGAATTAGAATGATCAAACGTGTAATTCGTTCTAAATCGATGGCTAGGTGAGAACGAAAAAAAGTTGTTTTCAATTGTTCGATGTCAATTTTATACAGTTGTCAACTGTTTCCGTTATTATGTACGCGATAAAGTAGCGATAATAAACTGATAGTGTACGTCAATATACCGACTTACAAGCAGATAAAATACAAATAACACATCTGAGTATTACATAAACAATAAACACATCGTACAAACGAATGCAGTTTGAGTGGAAAACATTTCCAACAATTTGGCCGAGAAAAAAAACGAAGGCTGTACAATCGCCTAAAATATTGAAGAAAATTCACACTATAAACATGCTAATCGCACTATCATACGCACATGGTTCAAAAATTTAATGACATAACCACCGTATTCTTTCACTATGTATACTATAGTACACATATGCGTGTCTTTTGGCTCGTCACTGTGTGACGTTCAAGGCCATTTAAATACTAATACTCGATATCGAAAATAGGCGAGACGTGTAAATGATTCTTTGTTCGCAAAATAAGCTCTCACGCGAAATATTAAATTAATCAAAAATGATAATTCAATTGAATGAAGACCAAGTCTATATATGAATGGTAATTAAACGTTTTTTCTTTATAAAATGGATTAGGTGGCCGTTCCAGATTTGGTTGAAGCAGCCAAAGATGCTGATATTTTGATTTTCGTCGTTCCACATCAATTTATTCCCGGCCAATGCAAGCAATTGTTAGGAAAAATAAAGAAAACAGCCGTTGGTTTGTCATTAATCAAAGGTTTTGATGTTGCCGAAGGTGGTGGTATTAAATTGATTTCAAGCATCATCACCGAAAATCTAAATATCCCATGCTATGTATTGATGGGCGCCAATTTAGCCAATGAAGTTGCCGACGAAAATTTCTGCGAAACCACAATCGGTTGTCAAGATAAAAAATGGGCACCAATCTTACGCGATATGATGCAGGCCAGTTATTTCCGTGTTGTTGTTGTCGATGACGTCAACACAGTTGAAGTATGCGGAGCTCTAAAGGTAGGAAATGATTTATTACCAAAATTTATTTATCTGTTGGATTCAAATATGCAATGCGATTTTTTTTTAGAATATCGTTGCATGCGGTGCTGGTTTTGTTGATGGTTTAAAATTGGGCGACAACACAAAAGCTGCCGTCATTCGTTTAGGCCTTATGGAAATGATTAAATTCGTCGAAGTCTTCTATCCAGGTAGTCAATTGGCAACATTCTTTGAAAGTTGTGGTGTTGCCGATTTAATTACAACTTGCTATGGTAAGTCACTTTAAGAGATGATTCGCTGTCATTTGTTTTTGTTTGATTTGACCATTTAATTTCGAGCGTTTTATTTTCGTGTATGATAATAAAGGCGGTCGTAATCGTAAGGTTTCAGAAGCTTTTGTGACAAGCGGTAAAACAATTGAACAACTTGAAGCCGAGATGTTAAATGGTCAAAAATTACAAGGACCACCAACAGCCAAAGAAGTGAACTACATGCTTGCAAACAAAAAAATGGAAGAGAAGTAATGCACATTGACACACTTTTTTATAAATATTTGACTGATTTGCGGCTTTTTCTTTTGTTTTTTTGAAATAGATTCCCATTGTTTACGGCTATTCACAATATCTGTATTGGTAAACTCAAACCAGATCAACTTATTGACTGTATACGTAACCATCCCGAGCATATGTAAGTCCATGGAACATAACCCAAAAAAAAAACACCCTGAAAATGTTCACTTAAAAACGCTTCATTCAAAAACCAAAATCGAAAATTATTATATCAATGGGAGAAACATATTTTGTGATAGACAAAAAATGTTGAAATTTATGTAGCTAAACAAAAAGAACACAAACACACATACTGAAAAGAATGACTTTAGATTTATAGTAAACAATTCACAGTGAATTGAGTCCGATGTTCCTGATGGTAGAGAAAAAAAAGAGAACACATTTTATCCCAAACCAGATTTATTGTATATATATAATGATTTTATACCGAAAATATCTAAAAAAATTACCTTCTTTTATTTTGGATCCAAATTTAACCGGCCGATGTCTTCATTCTTTTTCGTTAATTTTTGTTTAGCTCATATATTTTGTTTCGTGTTATTTGAAATTCATTATGTGTTGCATTCAATGCAATTTATTTGTTAGATGTTACATATTTCTTTGTTCAATGAATTTCGTATACCAAATTCAATTCATAAAATTAGAATCGATTCGATGCAAAATCAGAAGAAAAAAAAATCAATGTTCAAATTATGCATTGTTCATGAAAAGAAACAAACAAAAAAAAAACATAGAAAAAATTACAAAATTAAAAATTACTTTCCAATTATTGAAAGAAATATCGACATAAATTTGTGTTATGATTCATTGTTTTCCTTTTATAATGTATATTTTTCCCCTATCTCTATTTATAAGTTACTTGTACTTTGTCCCGCGTTTTTTTTTTCGCCCCACACAACCACAATCCGCAACCACTTGTATCAAGTTAAATGAATGTGTTCGTTTTGTTATTCACATACCTGTTTCTCTCTCTCTCTTTTTCTTTCTTTTTTCTCTATCTCTTTGTCCTGCACCATATTCTGAACGATTGTTGTCTGTTTAGACCGAAATGAAATTTAAGCACCCAAACACACAACCTTTGCACGATTTATATTGTTCGTCCCATTCATCCACATAAATTGCACCGTCAATTTTGAATCAGCTGTTTGAATAAAGAATCAATAATAAATTGATCATTTGCCAATGTTCATCACATACAGGGCCGATATTTTTTTATCAAGGGCTTTTAAATGGGCTCACACACTTTTTTAAAATGAAAAAAAAGACATTTTTCGAATTTTTTTTTTTAAATAATTGACTTAATTTTGTTTTTTGATTGCTTTAATCGAAGTACTCGAACTAAAACAAATACACACAGCCGATTTCACGCCTTACTTATCCCCTCGATCTACGACTACTTACTAACTATGATATTAACCCGTATTAACCAATTTTTGTTACAGCAATTTACATTTTTTTCTTCATTAATTGATGGTTTTAATAGTAATTTCAATCCAATTCAGTCTGTGTTCAATTAATTCACAGACTATGAACACAGACTGAATTGGCTTGAAATTATTATTATTTTTCATGAGTTTTTTTGTGGAATATTTCGAAAATATTTATGAATTCCGTTTTTTATATCATATTTGTTTTGTAGTTGCAAACACATTACTGCGAAACTGTAAGCCGACGCAATGCACTCACAACCTCATCATGATCATCAAAAAAAAAAGAATTCATCAAATGATTGTTTATACTCATTTTATTTTTAAAAATCGATTTTATTGCATTTTTCGTGCTCGAAATTCAACATTTTAATTTAATCAAAAATAATACACTAATCATGTTTTTTTTTCTAAATAAAAAAATTGTAAGTTAAGTATTCAATAACAAAATCACATTTAAATGAAATTTATATCAAATGATTTTTCAAAAAATTCATTTATCATATGAAAATTGTTGCTATAATTTTTTAAATTGTATAAAAAAAATAAAAATAAATTTTAGAAACACCATCCATTTTGAAATGTTAAAGAATGAAAGAAATTGTGTTCTTTTAATTAATTTAAAAACATACCCATTTTCATTTAACGTACACATATTTCGCCATTTGCCATATTCAAATTCAAGTGTCAACAAGTGTATCGCAGTAAAACCAGACTTTGTTCAAAATGTACAATTTAGAGTCTAATTTCAGGCATTTTTTGTAAATGTTTGTTTGTTCTTCAGTTTTTTAAACGTAGTATCTTTAGTTAAATTTACGAAATAGTAATAAGTAGCATCCTATGACGGTTTTAATCTAATATTTGTTCAAATTAGCAATACATTATTTCCATGCGCTTATTTGTGTAGAAGAAGAATTGGACTTAATCAATGAGATCATAACAGCACATTATAAAATCTATCCATCAAATATTTTTTTTCCAATTACATTTATGGCTTCCGTTTACCCCAAAAAAAAAACCCACATAAATTTGGTAAATAATTGAAAATGCGATTTTATGTATGTATTTCACTGTATTCGGTTTGTATTTAGTGTAGAGTAAGTGTTGTACAATTTTGCCACCCCATTGTTGTTCTCGTCGATTATCGTTGTTTTTTGGCAAAATCTCCATTAATTTCATATGGACTGTGAAATCGATTCTGATTGCTTTAATTATATGATTTTCTTTGTTCGATTGTTTTTTTTTTCTTTTTCTTTTTGTAATTCACAGGCAAACGTTCGCATAATTTGTCTTCTCTATTCACATATTCGAATTTAATCGAATATTGTGTTATATTCGGCTGACAAACGTAACAGTCTAAAGACGATACAAAATGATTGTACAAAGATGAGAGCTATATATATAAAAAGAACAACAACTCCATTTATTTTAGTTAACAAAAATACACAAGTACCTAAGCAAATTGAATAGGAATAGGCTAGCAAAAAGAAAAGCAACAACATTCAAATGAATAAAAAAAATCTTTTTATCTTATTCAATGTTTTCCTCCACAATTCGAATGAGAGATATTTTCACCAACACGCTTTTTTAAGATGAAAAAAAAAACTGGTTTAAATAAGAAATTTGGTAATTTATCAAGCTTGAGCCGTAATTTTCTATTCATTTTGTAAAATCGACAAATGAACAGAGATATTAACGACTATACCGTGTAAACAAAAGAGATTTGTTTGAATAAAAGACATTTTTTTCAATATTAGAAATAATTTAAATAGTAGTTTTTCTTTTTAAATAACATTCTATATTCTTTTTATTGAACTGCTACGTGAAATATCGCTGTTTTGGGTCGACTTTTTTCAAAAATCCATTATTAAAATCAGCCGCTGTCATCACAGGTTTACCTTCAACACTCAACTTTTTGATGCTAATGAAATGTCCATCGCTACAATGTACACACAAACATTTATTAATTTTATCGTATTCTACATAGCCCGGTGATCGATCCAAATTTGATTCGTTGACACCATCGTTGGTCAAGTCAAGATCTCTAATTTTTACACGACGCTTTTGCCAACATGTTGTCAGCCATTTAAACGAATATAATGCTCTATATAAATTACAAACGTATTTCGCTGTCATCATTTGCCAATTTATGGTAGCCATTGACTCGGGTACTTTTGGAGCTGAAATTAGATTTTTAAAGAAAATAACAAGTTTGTCATCAGTGGGAATAGGGCAAATTCTTGACATTAGTACACGATTCAATACATTGTGCTCTATACCATCTACAAGCAATGTCATGAATTATACACCAATGTCGGTCTGACTAAATAAGCAAGATCCATACCATAGGTAGCCTTGTTGTCATCTTGTTGTTTTCCATTCTGAAAACTGGCTGGTGCATTTTCAATACATTCTGTCAGAAGTGTGGCGCCTTCATTTGAAAGTGTTTTATGTAAATGTGGCATCAGTACATTTTTTGGAATTTCAACGGATTTCGCTGCTAAAATTTCCCCAACATCAAATTTATTCGGACTGATTCTCATTATGGATACACCGGTCACGGAATCTTCATTTAAAATTGAATAAATTATTGGCGATGCACCTCTCCATCGTGGCAGAAGACTGCCATGCACGTTTATCATTCCACTTAAAGAATTGAATGTGTTACCAAAGGTTACTTGCTTTATTGCTTCATTTTCACTTACTATGGAAATGTATTGATTATATTTTCTGGTATTAAATGGCCAAATGACACCACAACTCCCAAATCATGTTTAATTATGTTGGTATTTGATTTTAATGTCGCCCAATCCATACACACCATCCCATGGTCATCGGCATATTTTTTCACCGGATTTCCCTTTGAACGGAACGATGTCACCACATCAATTCGATTGATTTTGGACTTATTGGATTTTCTAGAAATGAATAAAATTGGATTTTTAAAGTCTTGTTTTGAATGACGAAACAACGAAAATACTTACGTTGAATTTTCCAACGAAATAAGACTTCGCAGTGAAAATGTGTCGGTGCCAAAAAATAAGATATTTAATTTAAAGTTTGTTGCCGCACATGATTTAAAACGAACTAAAACATTATGACTAAGTAATGATTTAAAATTCAATAACGAACTCCAATGTTGCATAGCGATTGTTTTGTAATTGATATTGATTTGAGGTTATGTAAATTGTACGGCTGTCAAAACACAAAAATTGGTATTGCCATCGAAGTTTCAGTTCATCTGCCAATAATCATTCGAATTAGAAACATTACCGCGCTGCCTTGTACATTTCTAACGGTGCATATTGCAATACTGTGTTTGACATTGTGAAATTACGGATCGTGTTTGAGACGACATTTTTCAATATCAACAAACAGTTTTTTGCCGAATGTCAAACAAAATGGATAAAAAAGAAGACTTTGATCGTAAGGTATGGTGCAGATTTTCCGCCGATTTCTCTGGAAAATCATTTATTTTCTCACATTTTTGTGACAATTTACTTTTGCAGAAGTCCAATGATTCGGATGCAATCAGTCTCTTCTACGAAGGCGATTCATTCAGAAGTGACGGAAGTGGAAAAAGAAGGTACGTAAATAAATGATGCGCAGACACTTCAAAACCAAGCATAAATCCTAGTTTAAAAAAAATAACCGAAATGTTGTGGTGTCTTTGCAGTTATGATTCGATTTCATCGTTGGATGAATATTTGGCCAAACCAAAACGCTTACGTGCCACCTTAGATGCCGACAATGATGGTGCATTCGAAATGAGCGAAAGTTTTCGTAATCAACCGACCGATGAACGTATCAACACATTGTTTGAATATGTGCAAAACACAAAGCTTGAATATGCGCCAAATCTTTGCAACGAGATAGTGGAACATGGTCGAAAACAAGAGCTACCACGCTTCATGGAAGTGGCCAAAACATTTCCAACAAACGTTCAACCACTCGTATATGACCACGTGTTCCGTGCTTTGTGGCACGCAGACGGTGCAGTTTACTCAACGGCCTTGAAAGAATTGACAAACATTGTTCACAGCGTGGGATATACGTCGGAAAAATGTATTGACTACATTGTACGCAAAATTCTTGCCACCAACAACGATAATTTATCCGCATTTTACGACGAACTGAAATACATTCACAAATCGGGCTACAAATTTGATGTGATGCAAATGAATTCTTTGATGGACCATTGTATCAAGAATTTTGATTTGAATTTCCATCAATTTGTGTTGGACATCCTCAACAAGTTTTCCCGTCCGGTATTGGATATGGTGAATCAGGAGCTTCTCAAGAGATTTGCAGAAAGACGTATGGAAAACGTTCGACAACAACGACGACTTGGACTTTCGCGAAAAATGTGAACCAATCAACCTTATCAACTTAAAATTAGTTTTAGATTCTTCAGTATATGAAGAGAAATAGATAAGTTATCGACTGAAATTACGTTATTTTGCCATATTTTATAGATTACTAAAATATTGGTTAAGAATTGATTCGCACTTTATTGAAATTGTGGTTATTCAAACATTGCCTTTTTCATATTCAATTTTTTTTCCACGGTATATTTGTTCGTTCAAATATATGAATAAATGGTTTAGTTTTTTCTATACGTTTTTCTTGGATTTTCACAGTTTTAGAGCATAATTTGGAAATGATCGTTCTTTTTGATATACATAACAGTATTGTCCGAAAATGGTTATTATACATCGATCCACATTAAACAGATTGGTACCATTGGAATCGCCCGTTTACACTACTGGCTGGTGAATTTCTGTAAAAAAATTAAATTTCAAACAAAAATCAATTCGAGCTCGTGCAGTTTTACTTTACTTCGTTTTCAATCATCTAAAAAAGAAAAGTAGTAAAGAAACTGATTCGATTTAACGGTAATCATACAATTTTTTAAAAATCTTAGTAAATGTGCTTTTGACAATACCACAAGTATTCGAAAAAAAGAAAAATTCAAGTTGTTGACAAGCAAATCATCTTATAAAATAATTAAAATAACAATTCTTGATCAAATGGATAAATATGTTGGGTTTTTTGTATCAGACCTAGTATCAAACGCATGTTAACATTTTATGGATCAAATTGAAGTAAAGGACAATTTTTTGATAAATGGGAAAAAGTAAGCGCTTATCGAAGTAAATCTATTAGCAATTTTTTTCTTACGGAAATACTATAGACAGAGAGAGTCATATTGAGCCAACGCATATTCTTCTTTGTTCCATTCGTAATAACAGAGAAAGTGAGAACAGCATCGAATCTCGTAGCCGATGCTTTTGTGTTGTGTTACTTCTGTAATGTACGTGCTCTGTTCGATATTGCGAATGTCATGAAGAAGAATGTGCGTTGGCGCAAGACTCTGTGTATATTTTTCCATAAGAAATTTTATAGATTTACTTAAATTTAAGCGCCGATAGTAAAATACTGTTATTTCATGTTCAAAATTATTTGTTGCCACCCATATTTTGTTCACCTTATCCGTTTTCAGCAAAGACTAATCCATAGAACAAAAAATATTAAGAGGAGTTTTCTGAGGATACTGAGGACAGAGAAAAATTTTAATAATTTTTTTCAACTTTTAATATTTTGCCCTTAAATTTATTGAAAAAGTCTAGAGTTTCCAGTGACTACCCCGTTAATTGAATCTTTTTGATGGTTAAAATCACGATACGCTCAATCAACCGCTAAAAAAGGGAAATTAAAAATAATTGCAAACATTGTTTGTTTCTTTTGTCATTTATTTATTATTATTATCCATAAAGTAAGTAATTACAAAATAGAACATTTTCTCTGTGTTTCTGTAGATTCATTTTTTCTCTCTATCTGTTTTGAAAACAACGTCATTTAAAGTCATTTTTTTTTTAAATCTGTTCACATCAGTGGTCATTTCATGTGTTAATTTTTTCTACGTGCAAAAATAAATAAAGTATAATCGATGTGCTTGTTTGTTTTTTTTTTCTTTCTTCAATTTGTTATCGATAAAGTTAATAGATAAATTGATTTTCTGTTCATTTCCTTTTATTTCGAATCGATTTGATTATTTCAGTTTTCTTTCCCGTTTGAGTGCGTATTAAGATTGGAAAAATTGGTATTTTCCGTATATTTATGACATTTGTTCCATTTAGTACATTTCATTTTTTTACGTAAATCATATTGCAACTGAATGAGAAATAATAAAATCAACGGAAAATAAATGGTTTTGAGAGATGGTAACTTTTATTTCATGTGTCTTAAATTCCACAGTAATTGAATTAAATGTCGGTTAAATATAGTAACCAATTTGTTTTTTTTTTTTTTTTTTTTTTTTCAAAAGGAGGAAAAAAGACAAAAACATAAAGCGTTTCCTACAAATACAGTTGGAACGGGGATCATGTGCTGCATAATTTTCTGACTGAATTAAAATGAATTAATTTTCGTTAATTTTTCTCATTAATTTAAATTAAGTGAGCATGTTCAGTGAGCCATTGACGAATACCGTCAAATTGTAAAATTGCTTTTGTTTCTATTTTTTTTCTACCAAAATAACAAAAAGAAGGTTAAGTTTTATTTAACAAAAAAATTAATTCTTGGCTGTATGTCGCTCTCCATATATTCTTTTTCAAAACGAAAAACAAAACACAAAACCATGAAATGAAGAAGGAAAAATCTAATAAATAATTATTTGGTTGTTATTATTTGTATTTATTTGACTAAATTGTCAATCTGTCTAACAGTATATGCGGTTTTCGCTTCGTTTCATTATTATTCATGTACCTCGTTTAATTGTTGAAAATTAAACGTTTTTTTTTTAAATGTTTATTTCAAATCTTAATATGTAAATTTATCTATTTACTCCTTCTTTCGGATCTCACACTTAAGCTTATTTCTTTTTAAAAAGGCAGTTTTTCTCTCTTTTTTGTTGTTAATTTTTTTTTCTCTTGAACACCATCTTATCGATATAAATTGTTAATGCCATATATTTTTTTTTTCTTGTGGAAATTGCGCGCACACAATTACTTAAACTCATTTCCAATTGTCGTTTGTTGTTTTAAACGCGATTTTCACACTTTTTCACTCATTCATCAAAGAAAAAAAAAGAGAATATATATGACGATGGCTTCGGACTGACCTACAAAATTAAATTAACGCTTGAAAATCGATGATGAGCCAAAATTGGAAAACGGGACAAATGGTATATGGATTTATTTGGATTTCGGTACGGTTTTTAATGGTCACGGATATGCCATTCTACACAATTTATATATATACAAATTATAATTAATTTCTCAATATTCTGCATATATGATCTCTGTATCTAAATAGAGGGACGCTCTATGTGTGTGTGTGTATGTGTGTGTTTGCGTGCGCGTAAGCCCGTTGAACTGACCAGGCATTAAACAATATAAGTGAATATAATAAACTACAAACAAATTATTACAAATTAATTACAATTTTTTTTAAATTTTTTGCTTTAAACAATAAATGGAAGAATGTTATTTCTTGTTAAGAATCGAAAACATTCACTCCAGTTGTCTTTGCTTAAACTTGGCCACTTGTGTTTTTTTTTTTTGCTTTTCTGTTTTCATTTTATTCTCTTCAATTTGCTTTGAATGGATTGTTTTTTTTTTTTCTTGGGTTCACTCTCCACGTTCATTTGCAATGGTGAGTTTCTCCGGTGTTTGGCGATTACTTTTTGCATGAGCTTTTGCACAAAAATGCACAAAACATCCGACCGAGAAAAAGATTCAGACTACAAATATACAAAGAGAGTGCACACCAAACATACATTATTTTTAAAAACAAAAAGAAAATGTATACATTTACTCATAATTTACAACTAAGTCGTGATTTGCATTCACTATAACATAGTACAAAACAAAAAAAAAGATATAGAACTTAAGAGTTCCAAGAGTTCATTCCGGAACAAACTCAATTCTAAAAAATGATATTAAATAAAAAAAAATAATAAGAAGAATACGTTAAAATTATCAAAAGTATTATTATTAACATAAACCTTCCAAAGCAAATTACATGGATAATTAAAAAAAAAATTTATCATGATTTTTTTCGTCTTTTTTTTCTTCTTTGCTTGTTTTCAAAAACACACAACCATTTTTGGAGCTCATTATTTAAAATAACTTTATACATACATAAATTATATATGCTGCATCATTGCTTGATGTAAGATATTCTTTTCTTAATTTTTGATGGCATGTTTTTTTTTCTATTCTTCTTGCCGGGCATTTCGATCTTCGATCGGAGTGCAGTGGCATCAAATGATGTTATTCGCACTAAAAAGCAACGGACACGGACACAATGTGAGGATATATACTTTTTTAAACAATGACAGACAGGTGTGTAATTTTTTTTGGGCAGATTCGAATCACTATTTTATATCCCGAAAATAAAACTGAATTGACGAAAAGAAAACTAGAATTTCGGAAAATATTTGTGTGTATTTATAAAAAAAAAAAGAAATTAAAAGCAATCGATACACGATACAAATACATTGTATACCATCATTTGCTAAAGTTGTTTCATTTAAAATGTGTGTGTTTTTTTTAAATAACACCTATCCATCCCACATTGATTTTTTTAATCTATTTTTTAAGGAAAAAATAATTATATTTTCTATTCAATTTTCATGCTCAAACATTTTGCCATTTAAACTAAACCAATATGCAATATTAAAAAACAAATCAAAAATGTTCGATATTTTAGTTCATTTTTTTGCATTCTTGCAAATGTACCTACTATTTTTTCTCTACCACTTTGTATGTTCTATCTGGCATACGAATTTGTAAACAAAAAATATATATCTGATCGTAAACAAACAAATCCAGCGTTCATCTCGGCCAAATGTGTTGGTTCTGTTACAATTTCCTCTTAATATTGACTAAATCAATTTTATTTTCAATTTTAATTCTCTCTCTGTATGTGTGTTTTTTACCCCGTGTTGTTGTTCTCATGAGTTTGATTATTGTTTCCCTTTATCTATTTCGGTTTTCTTTTGCAATACTCTAGATTTTATACTAGTTTTAATATTAGTTTTTATGCAATTATTATTTACTATTTAAACAAAAGATTTTTTTTTCTTCAAAAAAAAAAAAAAATTGGCTCGGCCGCTTGTCATTGGCCAAAATAATCATTTTGTTCTCAATTTGATTTTGCTCATGTTTTTTTTCCCCTTCAAATGATTGCCACACATGGAGCAATGTAATATTGCTTGCAGTTAGGATTTTTTTTGTTTGGATTTTTCTTTTCTTCGATTTTTCTTAGTTGATCTTAATTTTGTGTTCTCTTTCGTTGTTAATATATTAAATGTTACACACGATGACGACGATATTGGCAATAGATAATAATTGAATAATTTTTCTTTAAAAAAACAATAATATTACTTCATTCGGTTCAGCACATAATCATTAACAACTATTAATCCCTTTTGATACGGTGACTCGGTTAATTCTTGCGCTAATCGTATGGCTTCTATGCAATGTTTTCGGGCTAAGAATCTCGTTTGTTCCAATCCTTGAGATTTGTGCACAAGCTCAAAGGCTCGTTCGACGTCGCCGGGTTCCTCAAAACGGCGCATAATCATTGGATTCAATTCGGGGAACTGAACAAGAGAGAAAAAAATAAATAAGACAAATATAAATTTAATGAGATCAAAAGTTTTTTTGTTGAAAAGAAAAAAGTCGACGAAAAAAAATATGTAAAATGATCTTTTCTTCGTATTGACACAGAAATTTATCAACAGTCTTTATCAGATATTATGTGCTTTGCATTAAAAATATCACTCTTTTCACATTCTTTTTTGCACCATCACAAATTCACAATGCCAAAAATGATTTTAAAATAGAAGAACAAATGACGAATAAGAACAAATTTAGACGTTCTAAGATTGATGGTGCGTATTCGCATTTGATATGCATAACATCGGTGATTGAAATTGTAATGTGTGTAAGAGCACGTACCTTTTCGCATGCGAATAATACAGGTGCTGTGGCCAGGCCTAATTTTAAATCAGCGGCGGTTGGTTTTCCCATTGCTTCTGCTGATGAGACAAAATCCAAAAGGTCGTCGACTAATTGAAATGCTAATCCAACATTTCGGCCGTATTGAAACGCTAACTCTGAAAGAGACTCGTCGGCACCACCAAGCATTGCCACCTTCATAGTTGTACAAGCAAACACGATTGTTTTTTTTTGTTGTTGAGAAAAAATGAAAAACGTCCAAAAAACCGAAGAGAGAATAAGTAAACAAAAATTAGAAATGCATATGACAAAAAGTGCTCAGAATTCGAAATAGTCATCAATCATTTTGATCACCGCAATCAAGTGACGATGACATCAACGAAGGCGAGAGCAAACCAAACAAACAAAATAAAAAAGAAATAATTCTAAAAATAAATTCACTCAATACAATGTTGTTACATAAACGACATTTCTTACCGATTTGGTTGTGTTTGCAATAAGCGATGCAGTTTTTCTATACGTTTTTGTGAGGTAATGGGCAAATCGTTCGTTTTCCGATTCTTTTGATCCCAACTGCATAAATTCACCTTGTACTAAGTCGGTTAAAATCTGAAGAAAAAAAAAAATACCGAAAAAAAATAAAACATTATTTCGGAAATCGATTAAAAAATATTTGTATATGTATCGGCTATTTTTGAACACCGAAGAAGCTTATCGCACTCAATCATCATAATGTCGTTAAGTCAATTTTGTGCTACACAAAAGCCAGTGCCATTCAATGTTATACTATGTACGAAATTTTTCTAAGTAAGCAGCTGTTGCCGCATTTAATTGTAAGCATCTCGCTCTCTCTCTCACTCTAGCACGTTCACATAGTTAGCATTCAAAAGCAAAGGTATTGAAATATACGAACAGACTGTTCTGTCAATATTAAAATTCTTTTTCCGTCAAACACTTGGAGATAAAGCATTTATATACGTTTGATGAATTTATAAATAGGAAATTTGAAGTAACAAATTCATGTGAAGATTTAAAGTATCACAACAAAATGTTATTGTAATTCATGTTTTATGATTTCATTTTGAATTGGCATGATTACATTAATATATTAATTTGCATCATGATGCATGCATGTTTATTTTCGTGTCATCTAAAAATGGCGAGATGGTTAAGAAAATGATGGCGATGAACGACGACGACGAAGAAGAAACTTGAATTCGTTCGAATGAAGATGGGTGCCATCGTCAATAAGAATAAAGGCAATAAAAAATATTTAATGGCCATCAATTCGGTTCCGGATTTACGTTTAAGCCTGGGCTATGAGAGACAGGTGACTGTTGACCTTGATGTTGCATATATCATAAACATCAAACACATGTGATTTCTGGTTGAATATCACATTTCCACACACACACAGCTACAAGGTAAAAAACCGGACTCAAAAATTTCCTTTTCATTATTCCTAGTTGCCTATCGGTGTGCGATGCGGTCAAAGAACGAACAATAGTAGTATATTGAATACATTGATTTGTTGCGACCGGTTTACAATCAATCCTTCTTTTTATCGGTTGTGATCTACTATGTTTCTGAATACAGAATATCAATCTTTAAAACGAAACCAGAAATGAACACGACACTAATAATCACTAAATGACACTTTTTTACCGGCTTAAGTTACATAACATCACTTTTGCTTGGGATATTTTTATCACATTTTTTTGGTGTTCAATTCAAATCGTTTGGTGCTAATTTTTTCGTGTTTGATACATTTTGAATGCCACATAATTAGCTTACCTCACTTAAAACTATTGTAACATCATCGTTTTTAAGACGAGCAATCAATATTGACGCTATTGATAAGATATAGTCTCCAGTCATTGTAACCTAATTGAAGAAACAAAAAAAAAAAAAAATCTTGATTAAAAAATGTAAATTTTTTCATTTGGATTATTAAAATGTTTTATTATAGCTATTTGAGCTGCTGTGTGTTTTCTTTGTATTCATTCTATTTATATTGCAGATAATCGGTATTTGAAATGAAATTAGTAAACATTGCATAGATCTTTAAAATATCAATTATAAATGATGAATGATTGAGGAAAAAAAAGTGTGTATAACTTTAAAGCAAACGAATCATCAGTTGATCAGTGTATAATTCTATGTAAATCACATTTATGTAACATGAAACAACAAATGGGCTTGAAATTGCCAATAAAAAAAGACAAGTACGTGTGCTTGCGCGCGCGTACTTATGTTTGTACACATGATCCAGACTAACCTAAAAAGTAAACAAATCATTTTGACGCGACATAAAACTAACAAAATTCTTATAATTCTGATGATTTTACAATGCCATTTGATGTGGTCATACAATATGCTGTGAGTATTAAATTTTTTTTTTTTCGTTTTTTATGTCGCCAACGACAGGAATGTCATCATTTTAAATGAAAATGGTTGAATTGCTCATAAATAAGAATAAACATCAATTGATCGCGCACTCTCGCAGCAATTCGATTTGTAAATAAATTGCGAGATGATGCAAGAATATGTATATTGATAAATACATTGTACGGTAAAGTATATATGTGTACGCAATACATGTACTTTGTACTCGAATGCGCAAAATTTATAGCGAAACGAAAAATCATCGCGTGAAATTCTACAATTATCGATTAAACTCAATATAAATGGAATTCCAAAGCCATCAATATCGAATTTCAAGAATCGAAGCTGCTATCGTTTCGAATCTTGATGACATTTAGCCACGAATCGAACTTTGTTAAATGAAGACATAACAAAAAATAGCATCTTCGTCAATGAACACCAAAAGAAACACACACACCGGAAGATTGTTTCCAAATTAAGCTGTAAATTAAATGATTCTATACACAAATAAAGGTAGAGATTTACTGAACTGAAAACAATGCGATTCGATCAATTTCCGCAATCGAAAAAAAAGACGCTCGTCAACAAAAACCAATGCGGAAAGTGCAGAAGAAAGATATAACATCAACAACAACAACAAAAACTTTCAGACTCAACCGAAAGACATATTATAAACACACATACACTAACAACTGCAGTATCATAAGTTTTTTTGTTGTCCCAAGTTGTTTTACATAAGTGTCTACCATCTTAAGTTTACACCATTTTTTTTATTTATTGTTCGACATTTTTTTCAGTCATATAGCCAGTTTCGTTTTCACTTCAGCTAATAAAATCTTGATAAAAGTTTTATTTTCGTACCTCATTGCCTTGTCCAAAAAATGTGTGCATGACACGAAAAAAAAACTGATACCAACAACAACGACAGCGACATCGAATTGTTACATGAAAAATATTCGCAAATTATGATGACCACTTTCATTCAGTTTATGCAAAATTATTGACTAAATCGGTGTGGTTTTCTTTTTTTGGAGATGTCATTGTGACTACCATCGTCGACCGAAACCATAACTCAATCGATGAAAACAATCGTGCAATGATTAAAGACATAATAATTATTAATTTAATCAACTTCCAAAACACCAACAAATGAGAGACGAAAAAAAAACACTCAATACTGATTAATTACCGCTTTTATCGCGCGTCTTTACCTATTTTCAGTGTTTTTGTTTATTTATTTTTTCGTCCATTTCATTTTCGATGTATAGTTTTTCATTGGAATTTTTTTGTACTCTCCGTCTCTAAACATTTCCAAACGAATGAAACACACACACAACACATGAAGACAGATGATCGGTGAAAATGAAACATTCGTACTCAAACTCCCCGTTCACCATGAATAATTGTATAATTCGCATTACTTCAGCGTGAGATAATCGAAAGTGAAACTTATGCTATGCGCTAAATGTCTTGCACCAACTTGACCAACATAATCATCAGTTTTCCAACGGCGTTCTTCTGGATGATTTACCATATTCTTCGACCATTTCAAAGCCGCTTTTTTTAAAGATAGCGAATCTGTGTCAATTTTTGAATTCTCCGCAACAGGCATTTGTTATTTAATTTTATTATGGGCAGACAAACAGCAATTGGTCAAACAACGGCACAAAAACAGTGGCAACGATTACATCTTTATTTCAAAGTCTTTGTAAACAACTTAATATTGCACAGTTCATTTCATTATAGTTTGTCTGTTTTATTCAATTGTTTATACACATAACTGTTAAAGCCATTTTCATTAATTTGTAAAGCATTTTGAACTTTAAAAATAAACGTATTATTACTTTGTTTCATTAAATGAAAATGATTGTGGAATTCATCGTGTGCACAGACACACACACACACACGCTAAAAAGAAAACATTGAGTGGAATTCGGTTTTTTTGAAAAGACTTTCTTTCACCTTTGCTTCTATTCAAATTGTTCGGCGATAATTGTGATAAGCGATGTAAAAAAAAAAAATTATGTCATCTTTAAACAAAAAAATGTGAAGAAAAAAAACTGTCCAACAATATCAAAAGACTAAAAACAAGATATATATAATAATAATTATCACATCAACTGAACTGCAACGTATTCAGATCAAGTTGAACATTTAATCGCTGGTCTCAATAAGCCAAGCCACCATCAATTAAACATGATGCAGACATTGCGCATTACAACAGATATAGAAAGAGTGTGTGCGAGAGACAGAGAGAGAGAGAAAGGTGGCAAGCCAGTTAGAATGCGAGTGAAAAATTGATTTACCATTGGCACCGATCGATCGTACGTATCAATCTGAATGCTCAATTTTTCAATGGAACTGACGTGGCAATAGCCACACGCATGTGTTACACACGTCCACATATAGTTTAATTACAATCCGTACAACCAATGATGATATTCAATTGCAGGCCCGTCATTTAATCAGAGACCAATCGATAGAAGCAATTACGAAGCATTTTAATTATGCTTTCTCGAAATCACATGCCATCTCTGTTGCACCACCATGAAAACACCATTGCGCAAAAAGAAAATGCTGTACATTTGAACTTTGTGCGACAAACCATTTCCATTTTAATGTGTGTCTAATGTTGGTGATCTTCCGAGGTCATAATTGTCAAGTTTATATTATGACAACACCACTTTTCATTCCGATTATTTTGTATGCTTGTACGCACCAGACACACTTCGCATAAATGCGTCATCGTTTTATTTTCTTTTCGTCATATTTTGTTTCGATTTTTGAATTCGATGATAAACAATATACTCCAGCAATGAACAATTTGTCGATGTGTGGTAATAGAAAAGTGAGAAACACACACACAGAGACAGACGAAAAGAAGAAGTTAAGTAGGTGAACTGCGAACAGGTGAAGAAAACGAAAGCAAAAATACCATCAAAAATACGAAAAATTAACAACTTGCACGAGCAAGTTGGTCATGACGAATATGCCGATCGAAACATTTTCCGGCACTCTATTTTCTTATTACAGAAGAGAGAAGAGAGAAAAACAACAAAACCGATTGATGGAATGGATGACTTTACATCACTGCAATCGTGCAACATTTTGGTATGTGTATATGTGTGTTCCATATCATTTTTTCGATCGACGATTTATTGAAATGCGACACAGATTCAAAATCGAACAACATCAAGTTGGTCAACCTGTGTTTATAATCGAAAACCACCCAATGATTACGTTGTTTATAATAAAAATTTTGTTTCCATCTCTTGCACGCTTTTCTTCGGCATTTTTTTTTAATTCAATTTCATTTAGCTGCACAACATTACTCTTGTTTTTTTTTCATTTCTTTCTATAGATCGATTTCATCGCGTAATCGCCGCAAACCAAAAGAGATCTCGTGGGTGAGCAATTTAACGCAAATTTTCACATGCACACACACATATCGCATGAACGGTGGACAAACAAATGATATAGGCAACATGACTTGATACTCTTTTTTGTTGTTGTTGTTCCAATGATGGTTTTGCGATACTTTTCAATGGAATTGCATACCGTTTTTATGAATTTGTTGTGTCGATGTATTTGTGTTGTAAGTATTTTCTCTATGTTCGAAAAGACGATGTCGCTGCTTTTTCCTTATTTATCGGTCGTGCGCATTGTCTATGAATGCGATCACAAGTGAAAATACGTTTCTCATTTTACTTTCTCATCCAAACCTATTTTCCAACAAACATTTTTTGAAAGATTTGTTTTTTTTTTTAACCAACATTTTAAAGAGATATATATTCATTCGCAAATAGCAACAAAATTCCAAAAGAAAAGCATTCAAACGGGGCAAATACTTTGTTCACTAAATTACTTGTTGATGGTTTTGTAATCGTGAAAAATAAAAAGAAAAAAAAATTCAATCATCGTTATCGATGCGTTAAAGTCATACATGCGCACTTCTTTCCAAATGGATCCAAATGGAAACAATGCCACTGATGAATTGAAAAAAAGAAGCAAGAAATGAAGAAAAAAAAAAACAGTTGCAAAAAATAAAAATAAAATAAAAACAAAACAACACAACACACATTGACTAGAAATAACCGCAACAAGTAGCGAAACACACCTAAAAAGTAGAAAGTATTTGCGTGCGTTACTAAACGCGCTTGATGTGGTCAGTTGTGTAAGAATTCGTACGTCTATGCACACACCAAACCGTTTTTAAATTAAATGCATATTAGCATTAGAAATGGACTTTTCCACACACACACAGCATTTCGCGAAGCAGATGTGTATGAGTGCATTGCGTTTGCGTCTCCTGTGTGTGTGTGCGCTTTGTGTTTTCGTTGATACGTACGCGAGAGAGCAAAGAAACGCGCAATTTTATCGGGCAACCAAACCATTTCGATGATCGTTTTTAATAATAGTTACATTATGCAGAAGAGAGAATGAAGATGAAAAACACATACGATGCGTCGTTGAACTGTGCTGTAGCACCGTTTAACGATGCTCTACCACACAGTGAAAATGAAAATGATGCAGATGTTTCACTCACCTTTCTGTGATTCCATAAAACATTTACGCTAGGTTTGCCTCGTCTAAAGTTAGATTGATCGATTACATCGTCGTGGATTAAACTAGCTGTATGTATCATTTCTGATATCATGGCAACACGTCTCTGACTTTCTAAAGGGTCTCTGTAAATCAAAGTAAATTACAAATTGATTAAACACAATTTCATTTTTTTTAGCATAATTGGATGAAAATCATATATATCGATATATTAATTGTTGTTTTCGATTACACAGCATTGTTCATTTGCTGCTGCCAAAATTATTCGCTAAATTGTGTTCATGCACCTTGTGTTTCAGTTCTATGCTAAACCAATTGAATCATTTTGGCACACATTTTTATTTTAATTCGGCAAACGGTATTGTCGATTTTGAAAGAGAAACAAAAAACAACAAACAAACATGAAACTGAATGAAATATGTACATGGAATCATGAAAAAATAATGTACAATGTCAATTAAGTATTACATGTGAACACAATGCCATAAAATTATACATTCCAAGGAAATTTCAATGTCAACAGATTGAAACACCCTTTAGAATTCTCTTGATTTTCTTTTTTATAATGAAAAATACACAATATGTTTCGTTGTTTGTTGAATCATTTGACTGATTGCAATATTTGATTGGAACATTAAATTCCAGTGACAGAGAGAGAGAAAGAGGAAAAAAACGGTTACACATGGAAATTGAAATGAGCATTGTCTGTAGGATGTAGTACGGCGTCGATGGTGCTGCGAATATTACAATGCCGAACCCATTTACAAATCTTCATCTTATTTCATATGACTTTAATTCAACTACGATATTCCAACAAATCGGAACAAGCACGTTTGTGATGAAATGCTATTGCAGCCCAATAAATGGTTAGAAAAAAAAAATTCAACAACAACATTACAAACAATACAAAAATTATTGTAAACATGAACACATGCATCCATGCGGCATTGACTTTAGATCTTTTGAATGTAAATTTCCGTAAATCGTTGAGCAAAAAAGCTTTTTGAAGTTTCCGCAACCGAAACCTATTATGTTCGTACGATTTGAGGTGTCAAGTGCTCTTCATCAAAGTACAATGGGGATATGTGTGTGTGTGTGTGTATGTAACAAAGCCCATTATATGATTCAATTGGATTACATCCTCGACTCATTCATTCAGTTCCAGTTTGCAACAACCGCACATCTCCAATACCGTTTGTTGTTTGTTTGTTTGTTCCTTCTCTGTTCCATGAAATGAGGAAATATATAGATCCTGCTATATATAAAAACTTACCGCATATCTTTGTGTATGTGGTGGTTTATTGCTCTAGCCATCAACATTCCAACCATCGGCCGTAGTGCTTTCCCCTGTCCATCGAAATAATATTTCGCAATTGTGTCTAATTCTGGCTGATTTGTCCCACTTTCGATAAGCTGTTTTTGGTGAAAAGTAAACAACATAAACGAAATTTATTGGCATGTGAAAATCGAAATGACCATTTAAATGAATGAACAAGAGAGAGAGAAGAAAAAAACCGAATAAATAAAATATGCCCGAACAGAAACACCATTCAAAAACATATGATTTTTGAGAGAGAGAAGATACACACACATATAAATAAACGTACACACGGCAGACAAACAAAGATAGAAAGCTTAAGAGGCCGTCATCACATTGTGATTTGTTTTGAGGCGAAATTAATGCGAAATATTTATGCAAATTTTGTGATTTTTTATTTATTTATTTATTCATTCACGTCGCATGTATGCTGGATGTTTTTTTTTAATCAGAAAATTCTTGTTGGACGAGTGTTGCCAGCCGATCGGCAATCCCATTTTGAAATTTGTCATTGTTATTGATATCGCAAAACATATGCGAATTAAGAATGCGGACAATCACTATGAGAGCGAAAAATGACGAAAAGGAAGACGAAGATAAAAAAACTGGTGTTTAATTCAGGTTATTTATCGGTTCAGTCATTGTTACTACAGCCAAACCGGCCCGATTAACTAGAAATACGGAAATCATAATGTTGCCAAGTTACCGATCGGTAAAAATTCTGATAAAAATGATCGGTTGCCTTCTAGAATAAGAACATCAGATTGGATTCACATTTACACAATACAGTTTGCGGATTTTCATTATGTTTTTTTTTATGTGTGTTTGTTCAAAAGGTTTAATGTTAACGATTAGCAACAAAAAATGTCATCATTTTCAGAAGGGAAAAACATATTTTAAGCGTTTACATATTTGATTTATGTATTAGTAGCGTCATTGCTATGTGAAGGTGTCAAATTAAAAACAGTGATAAAGCTCATAACAACATCAATGTGTTTTTTTTTCTGGTATGACCCTCGATGTATCGTAATGACCCGGACCTCACGAATTTCTTTGAAAGTAATGTTATGTGGTGAAGTGGCGCTGAACCGAACCAATGTTGATATCTTGATGTGGCGCAATTATATGTCGAACGGAATCACGTGAAGAAGAAAAAAACTGGTAAATGCAAAGTAATTGGCATTCGTAAAAGAACAAGAATGGTCATTTTTGTGGTTATTTTAATGATTGTTGTTTGCCGGAGTTTACACAACAGCAAACCATTGAAGAGTTATAAAATGTGTATAAAGGTATTTTAAGCGTTGCTTTGATCATCGCCTTCATTGACAAGGAAGATCGTCTTCATTGGCAAGGATTTTGTTATTTCGTTTGTTCATATTTATATATATACACACCAATCGAAGGTTAATGCGATACATGAAAACATTTCAGTTCCTGAATTCACTGTTGCAACAAAACGATCAAATTAATGAGCTTGCACACAGACTTCAGATCCAAATGAAGTAATCTAAGTGTGTGTGTGTGTGTTCTTTTACACGCTAATTGTGTGTTGTTGCACTTGGCAGGCATATTTTTGTGCATTCACAAAGTAATTGAATGCACCAAGAATATTTTGGTGTGCGCGCATTGTATTCGCACATTTATCTCGGCAAAATGCATAAATCCACCAACACAAAAATCCATACATAATTAAGAAATTTATTGTTAAATTGTTGGCGTTTTGGTGTTGTTTTTTTTTTATTTCGGCGACAAATGACAGTGGCAATAAGCCGTACCGTAAATTGAATAAGACGAGATATACATACACCACACTGTCATTTGTACTGCATCAAAATAGCTCTCATTGTTATTTGTTCACAGGGCCTCAATTCATCTGCCATGTGAATAGCATTCAGTTTTTTTTGTTCCATGTTTCTTGAACTTGTACTTGAATTTATTAATCTTGGCGCTTATTTGTTTTGTTTGTCTGTCTGTTTCTCATTCACTCTCATTCAGTCTAACATAATTTTTTTTTTCTCTTTTTGTTTTGGCACTGCTGTTTTGTGCTTTGTTCGCACTTTACCATCTTCGGTAGCAAACTGCCAGTAGCCGAGTTGCTACTCGTTACACCTAACAAAGGTTGAATTTCAATAGACAAGCATAAATAATTAAAATAATAACAATGATGATTAAAAGGAACTAACACACATTTTGGCCATCGTGTGTAACATCAACGACGCGCTTCAAATTCTCAAGCAATATTTTGAGTTTTCCTTTGTATCATTATTGTTATTATTTCATTCTATTTAATCTGTGTTTCGCCTTCTTTACACCATACTTACATCTCTAATGTCTTGTGTAACATATTTAATATCATCATCTAACAATATGTATGGATCTAGCTCGACTTCTCGTACTGGTTTGGCGGGTTGTTGTGTATGAACCGAACTGTATTCCCGTGTACATGGATGAAGCAGAGGTAGTGTCGTCTAAAATAATAGTAAAAAAAACCAAAGACCAATTAAATAAACAATTTTAATGAGCATTTATATAAACATTTAAATTTATTTGGCATGACGAAATCGATCGGAACATGATATTACCATCGAACATGCAAAGGGCTTTAAAACATCCGTTTTTCACATGAATGAATAAATTGAAGAACACATTCTTTATGTAGCACATTTTCCAGTATACAAATTCGATTATGACGAATACATCGATTACAACAATTGATTACATTTTCTATTATGAATGCCATTTTCATTGCACAAAATCAAATTGAAACATACATTTACAAAACATTTTTTTTTTCGTTAAATTGGAACAAACTAGACGCTTGAATAATTATGATTTGTCGCCGTTATTATTTGGAAATGATCTTGATGCGTACAATATTTCTTTCTGAATATCAATACAAGTTTTTTTAAATGATATTTGAACATTTGATTTAAGACCAACTTTCGAAATTCAAATTTGATCGTTTTTCATTGTTTTTCTTGCTACTTGTTGCTTTGTTTTCGGCAACTAAATCTGGTGTGTGTGTGTTCATTTTTAATTTCTCATGAAATTCTTTATTACGCAAAAATATAAAATGGGCCTTTTATATAAACGCAAACTGTAATTAATTTTCTGCAATCAAACAGAGTCCATAGGCATATGTATATATATATTTTCCTTTGGCCACGCGTGCAAGCGCCCGCGCGCACCACAGTGAAAAGAAACTGACAATTCGAATGGAAGAAAGAAATAAAAACACAGTGTTACCAATTTTTTCTTCGTCGTCGTCGCTGCTACCGTTCGTGTTTTGTTATTTTTTTTTTTTTCGTTCAACATACGCATGGTTCGCAATTGAAATCCACCATGCACACATATATAACAAGTATCAAAGGGAATTATTCGTAATTTTACAGAAAAGTAAATATATGAAATATTATTATACGCTCAACAATCTGGAAAATTATTGAATGTAACCTTAAAGGAAATTAAAAGTGAAATAGCAAAAAAACACAACAATAACAACAGCGCTATATCGTTTTGGTAAATGGATTTTCATACTTTTTCGCTTACTGTTTCCAAGTAATGCACATCAATACAAATAAGTCGAATTAAGTCGAGAATTGTTTTTTTTTTGGCATGCGCACGGCACTATGATTGCTTACGATCGAGTTTTGTGTGCGAGTAAATCACTATTTTCCACATTTTTTTGTTTTTTATTTCGTTCAATGTAAACAACGTTTGGTAAACGGCGAATGTGAGCGAATGTGTGTGTATACGTCTCACTATCGTCAAATTTCTTTCCATTTCGTTTTAAGTGAACCGAAGAAGAATGCTCGAATCATATATGGCGATCGTTAACAATAGACGATGTGATTACATTGGAGTCATTCGATAAGAAATTAACATTAGACAATCGAAATGCGTTTTAAGCAATAAAATGAAAGAAAAATAACCGTAAAAAAGCTCGACGCACTCTTGAGCAATGTCGAAGCCACACATGCACACATTCACATCGATGAGCGCGCGCATTTATGTGCTTTTTTTTTATTTTTCCTGTGCGCGCTTCGTTCGGAACACATTTGCTGATAGCTTTGCTCTGACCATATCTATTATCGAAATGGTCATACATCATAGATTTTTGGCTCTCACAATGTCTTCCGACATATTTAATTAACATGCATGGAAAATGGCTGACAATTTGCAACGATGATTATTTGCAATTTCACTATAGCAACGCTTCAGTCATCATTGCTTGAGTGTTCAGGGGTAATTCTCTGTGCAGAATTTGCACACTAATGCATACATTACCATAAGTGTGTGAGACTTTGTGTTGTTGTTGTTTTTTGCCCCTTTTGGCATTATTGTTGTCAGTTTTTTTTTTGTTTTCGTTTATTTGTGCTCGCGCTCACTTACTATTATTATTACTATTCACCGTCATTTTCCGTGATTTGAATTATGACAGGCGTCCAATTAAAGAAAAACTTCAAGATAATGCATTACATAACCATTTCCATCAATTACACAACGAAATGGCATGAAATTGTGCGCATTTAAGATTGAAATCGCGGCCATTACCGAATACTTATAAATTAGGTGAAAAGAAGTTTCATTTTGCGGTTCATTTAGAACAGATCACATTTAATGGCATTTTGGCGAATGGCACACATTTACTTCATTTTTTGAAGAAAATTTCGAAAATAGGCATACGAAACGGCCGACTGATAATTTGGTGTGAATTAGAGTATAAATAATAATTTTCTTTGCATCCATCGCCATATAGTGAGTCAATTCTATTTTGACCTGCAATTGCTACAATACAGTACCAATGAAAATGGAATTGTGTTATTCATTTATTGTAATGCTCTTTTAATGATCAAATTAGTTAATTGTGTAAGTACCTTTTTATTAAGGTAAAAATGTGTTTTGTTTCTTTCTGTCTTACATTTTGCCGTTGTAATTTTTTGCGTATATTTTTAGTTATCAACAGCTCATAAACTTTCCATCGTACAATTTATCGTTTTGGCAAAAAGAGTTGTTTCTTGGTTGTCGCAAGACACACGTCATCAGACAGAGACTACTGTTATTGTTATGATAATTGAACATAAAAAATTTTTTTAACGACTTCAGAAAAATATAAAGAAAGCAATCAACCATCAAAGACATCCACTTATACATAGGCCTGAAATGGCCGAACCAACTGCAAACGGAAGAAAATTTACTTCTGTCGATGAGTAATTAAACGGAATGTCGTTATTAGATTATTACGCAATCGAATATTGTGGCTATGATGCTGTGAAATTGGTTTTGTATTCAATGCGCACACAAACGTTCTCATCCATCTCTCAAGCAATTGTATCGATTTTGTACTTTAATAGCACAACAATCGATAAATCACTGAAGAGTCGATAAATATTTTGTATTATTCCATTAGAAGACGGCGAAAAGACTACCGTATTCATATAGGATTATAATTGAGTGCTCTCATAATGAAAACATAAAGCAATTTTGATTTTTATTGAAATTAAAAGTGAAAAACAATTACGAGAGCGCGCGTACACACACACACACATACACTGAAAAGCATGGCACAAAATAGAAAAATTGAATTCAATAAATTTCAATGATTAAGCGCCTCAAAATGAATGACATCAAAATTTATGGTCAATGAAAAACAAGACCAATTGATTTGAACCGCGCCTCACAAACGACACACAATTAAATTTAATTTTGGCTTAATGTGTCAATACAATGTAACCATGTATTAAGCGCATATTGAGCACATCTTTAATCATAAATGTGTTTTCAGTGCCATGTCGCCATACCTCTTGCATTATCTTTTTCAAACGGACAACGACTTCTTCTTCTTCTTGCTGTGTCGCTTCTTCTTCTTCTTCATCATCATCATCTATGCTTTTTTCACTTCCATCGTCAAACAATGTAAAATTATATTTAATTACATGATTACAGTAAATCAACATGGAATTTAACAAACGAGGCAAATGAATATAGCGTGAAAATTGAAATGTTGTCTCACAAATCAAACAAAACGAAAATATATGCATCGAATGGCAATTTCAATGATAAAACGAATGGAAAAAAGGTTTAAAAAAAATTATCAAAAAAAAAAAAAAAATTCAATCAAAATGTGAAGAAGTCACTTGTTTGGTTTTGTGTATATGTGCCCAGCTCGAACCAAATCGAAATTCACTGCGCGAGAAAATGCGCGATCGTAAAACGGCAACGGTAGCAACAACAGCAACCAGCAGCAGCATCTTGTTATTACAATGTAATGCTCGTTGATCACATTAAAATTTCAAGAATTCTGAATGACATATTCAATGAGTATGGTTTATGGTATTTACATGAAAATCATACATGCTTTGGATTCGTTTAAATGTGTATGTGCACATGCGAGCAAGAGTTCATGACACACAAAACAAGTGGCAAAAAAAAGTGCCTCACACGACAACGCACATAAGCAGCAACCGATGTGTGCTGTTTTCAATATACACACTTTTTTTTTGTTGCTCTCGTCCGTTGTTGTTCAATTTCTATCTCTGTCTCTTCTCTTATGCATATGTAATTATTCATTGGATTCTTTTTGGCCGATGCAGCAACGTAATTATTATTACATTGAAAATGACATCGCTGAATTCATCGATGGATTTTGCGCGTGGTTTATCGACATTGGGCAACATTAGAATTTGAGCCGACTGTCATTATGTAAGTCAATAACGAGTGATTCTTATTTGTTGGGCGATCTCGATAGGTGATGCATGTGTATGTGTGTATGCAGCACAAAAAGATTGTTTATTTTTGTTGTTGTTGTCGTCTCTTGTGATTCGGTTCGTTTCGATTTCGATCGTCACAGTATGGCCACAGAAGAGACATTCAATTAGAATTTTGCAATTTTCTCAGTTTTGAACTTAAAAAGAATGCTGGCGATAAATACAAATACAAGTGCAAATGCAAAAACAAGATTCATTCACGTGGCATGCGCCTCACGACAGTTGTAAACATTAAATTATTCTCTATCTCTCTGTATGTGTGTGTATGTGTAAACTGTCCAAAAAGAGATGGATAAACGGTTTATAAAGACTCGTAGATGCACAAATCGCTAAAAAACACATACATCTTGCGCGCAATGCTATTGAAAAGAAAAACATAGAGAGAAGTGAAATATGAAAAAAAAAACTTATCATTGACATCAATAGCCATAACTGTTATTTGGAACACACACAATTTTTGTTAATATTACTGCCGAGAGATTCAACGGCGAGGACTGTTGTTGTTACTCATATATATATATATTTTTTTATGCTCGGTTCCTTTGGAGTGGTGGCATAAAGTGCTACTTTTTTTTTGTTTCAGTTTTGTGTCATCATTGTTGGCGGGATCTGTGTGTGGCTGCCCCGACACCGTGCCACAATACAGGAATGTATCTTCATGAAGCAAACACATTTTTATGATAGCAAAGAGCAAGAGATTG